ATAATGATAACAAAAAATAAGAGAGATAACAAAACAATATTAATACTAATATAGGTGAGATAAAAAGCAGGAATAGAACTAGTCACATATTTCTTTGTAGTTCCATTATATCTTCCTCACATAAGATTTGGACTGCAGCGGGGGCAGGCCCGTCTTCTTTATTTTTGGAGTTTATATTACGGCGAATATAGATATTCCCACGTGATATGAAATAGTAGTAATTGGAATTACTATTTCGAACCATATCGCGGGCCATAGCAAGCAGTCGTTTGTTCTTAGCAGTTAGATTTTCTGATATGTAGACAGGCTGCACTGGACCCTGAATTGATGTTACTTCAGTGTTAAGATGCGTTCCCTTTTTAGCCTTTTTATATTTTTTTACAGCCGTTAAAACCTTTTCTTTCTTAAGTATCGTTGAAAATTCTGCTATTATAGGTTTGTGCTTAGCGGTTTTTGAACCATATCTAAATATCTCACGTATATCTGAATTCTCAATAGGCACCTCGAGAGCTGTTCCGATTTCCTGTAATGTTACTAATAAATCTTCCTTGGATTCCCTTTCCTTTTGGGGAATATTCCTAATTTCTATACTCGCTGCTCGAGAACTCCGTTCCAAGTTATCTACTCTTTCCTCAAGAGTTTTTATATACAAAAGGTGACTACTCCGCTCTTTTTCTAGAATGTCCAATCTAGTCCTCGTTTCTTCATACTTTTGAGATAAGAACTCCACAGATTTTATCACATCATTATTTTGTTCTTTTATATCATTTAATGTACTTTCTAAGATACTAAATTTCTGATTCTGCTTTTCCATAGACTTGTTTAGTAAGTCTTTTACTTCGTCAATAGATGTTACCATGTCGTCTTCCCTTTTACGTTTTGGACGAGGATTAAGTTTGGTGGATTTATCAGTGACAGTATTTGCTGATAAATCTGGTTCAGAACCAGATTTATGTTGAAGCGGAGGGCTTCTTAATAATTTAGACATAGTTTTATTATGGCAACTAATGTTTACCGCTCAATGCAATATAATTATGTATGAAGTTCGCTAGCTATCGACACTGATGTGAAGGGTCAACGTAAATTGGTCAGTATCGACGTTTTCATTCAATGTTACGTTCCGTCCAGTATAAGATGATCTATTTAGTGGGCAGGGATCAATGTTAGTTGGTAGCTATCGACGTTTTCATACAACTTTTGTCTCCGTCCAATATAAGTTGAGCTCCTTACAATTATTTTCTCTTTCGCACTCGTTCAGTTTTTATAAGTTGAATTAATATTATTGCTACTCACACATTAGCAGTTGCGGGGATGGCCAGATGATTCGATGTGGGCATTGCAGTGTGCGTTACTGCGCTTCTTGTTAAGAGCTCGGGAGTCCTCTTGCTAGTTTCTGTACTCCTAGTAGTTGGTATTATTTATTTACTATTTATTTTAACTTTTAAAAGCCAAAAATAAAATTAACAGAGCCGTGTAGATACGTCTGAACTCCTCAGATGTCCGCGGGGAAGGGAAATCATTTCGAACTGATGGTAAATTTGACATATCACAGAAGTCTGTAATAGACCTACATGAAGTATTTTGAATTGAATAGTAGTAACTATCATTTTTCAGTGCCAATTAGTCAACACCCAATAGATTGGTCCGACAAATCAGTTGCTTTGTATCACATTATACCCTTCCAGCAGCACTCGATCAATCCCATAACGACCTCTCTTCTCGTTATTCTCGTTAGTAGTTGCATATTTTAGACAAAATTTTAAATTCCATTTTATTTATGAATTCGTGCCAAAGTTACGTAATGTTGCAGATCAGATGCGGAGTTCCATTCATAACTAGCGCCACCCCACCTCATACTACACATAATGGGTGGGTGGATACTGGCCAGACTCTCACTCGAGAGGTAAGGGCCACCCCCGCCTATTGTCAACCCTCTTTAAAAAGAAAGAGGTACTCTCTCTCGACTCTATTTTTTACACCGTATCTTCGCTAATTCTCAAACTTCATATAAATGTGCTAACAAAAGGCGACGTTATAGCTTAAAACAATCTCTTACATTTTATAAATCAATTCATCTATATTTGGTGCTTGAAAAAAAAACAATTAAAGATATCAATCAACATTACAATATTGGCATGCATGGATAAATATAAAGATACAATTTAAATCGAAAATTCATTCATTATCCTCCACGTACCACCCACGGAAGCTATAAATACAAAATCCAGTCAGAATAGAACATTTACAATGTATCTATCGGAATGAATTTTGAAACGATATATCAATAGTTGTTTTAATTAATATATCATTACGTAAAATTTCATTATGATCCGTTCTGGCGTTTTGCAATGAAAAAGTAACAAATAGACAGACTCACTTTGACATTTTTATTATTACTACTACTATGAATGTACCTGTCGTAATGAATTTTGAAACGAGATACTGACAAGTTTTTTTTTTAATTAATCTTTACGTAAAATTTTCTGTAAGATCCGTTCAGGCGATTAGTAATGAAAAAGTTACAAATAAACATACTCACTATGGGGTTTTTAATATTTATATGAATATACATTATTCCTAATCTGCCTGTCTCTTGCTAATCTCTAAAACGGCTGGACCGAGTTTGACGGTACTCTCACTAACAGATAGCTAATCTTATAAACAATAACTAGTGCTAGTTTTATTTAGTTTAGAAATTATGTCTAATAAAAAAGGTGGTTTATATTCCACACAGAGGAATCCGCGAGTAACAGCTAGTATTTTTTTATTGTTTTAATAATTATTCAATTATCGAAATCTTTATCACAATAACATTCCGCGGTCAGTAAATGATAACCCTGACCTGACACTGGATGATAGATAATTTAAATTAAATTTTTATCTGTCTGTTTGTTCTTACTAATCTCTGAAACGGCGGGACCGATTTTGGCGCGACTTTCACTCGCAGATTGCTAATATTATAAGGAGTAACAGAAGCTACTTTTATTTTAGAGATTTTATTTATTTTAATAAAAAAAGAGTTAAATTCCGCGCAGTATATAAAAGGTCACGATGAAGTCTTACTAATATTCTAAACGCAGAAGTGGACAGATAGATGTTTAATCTTTCATGCAGAAACTACTGAATATTATAAAGAAATATTACAATAATATAGCTTACACGTCAGAATTAATAGGCTATGAATTTCACGCGGGTGAAGCCGCGGGCTCAATTAGTGTTTTAATAAATATTCAATTATCGAATTATTGGTTACAATAACATTCCGCAGGTATTCAATGATAATCTTGACCTTAACATTGGATGTTAGATACCAATTGTATAATTACATGCTTAATAATCAGTAATTAAGATAATGTATTGAGGTAATCACTTTATTACATTATCTAATTGTGTAAATTATTTAATACTATTTAATTTCATTTTCTACTGATAGATAGCCGTGGTGGTCAAGCAGTTTAATACTCTAGCTTACCTCCAAGGGTACCATGTTCGATTATACTCATGATTATAAATGTTCGTATCATAATATTTATATTCATGAGTATTAGTGACTATCTGTAATGATCTGAGTTTTCTATGTGTCATGTATCTATTTCTATTAAGTAGTTTAATACAAAAATTACAAGCTCTGCTTAATTTGGGATTAAATGGCGCTGTCTGAATTGTCCTGGATTATTATCACCATTATTTTTTTAATGGATGATAATGGTCAGTTAGTCGATCATGGTAAAGTCACCAGAAATTTATCACGATTGTTTTACAGGGGAACAAAATGAGGGTCAACCTGCTCATCACTACTATTAGTATTTCTGCTACAATATGAATTAATTTTAACTATAATTATAAATAAATAGATATTATATAATGAATTTTAACTATAATTATAAATAAGAAATTCTTTTTTATGCCTTCACACCTTAAGGGCTAAGACAATTTTCATGAAATACAACTTTTAGGATGGAAAATTATATATTACTACTGGTTACTCATAGTCTATGTAATGCAGGTATTGATCATCATTTTATGGGTACAGTTTATGCCTCAAGTAATTATGAACGAGATGAATGAATTATTGCAGATCAAAATAGGATGTTATAAAAACATATGTGAGAAACCCACATTGAGTGTCCACTGTATACAATAATAAATATATCAATCAGTTCTTACTATTTCGATTCATTTATCATTTTTGAATAAAGTATATTTCTAGTTCATAATTTTTAGCTACCTTTGTAATGGATAAATTATTTATGTATTAAGTTTTCTATTTGATAACATGTAGTTTGAAAACTTGTAGTGTTTCTTTTCCATTATCAGCATATGAGCTTGATGCTCAGTAAGTAACTATAAAAAAATCCTACTTTTAATGAAATAAATAGGAATCTTATTTCAATTGTTGTAGAATTATGAAGTAAGATAAACATTGTAATGGTAGCTGTAGGGATGGTAAGGTGACATATCATGTTTTATATTTTTGATTGCTGAATAGAAAAAGTAACTTCCTTTAAAGAGTTCCTCAACATAAATATTGTAATTTTCAAGAATTTACAAATTTTTATCTTAGATATACATAAAAAAATATTAAAATAATGATTTACACATAATGTTTTTATATAGGTACAAATTGTATTTATTTTCAAAAATGTTTTAACCATTTTAGGTGTTTTTATACAGCATATTGTAAACTTATTAACATTTGCATATTTTTATTTAAAACTACTTACTTAAATGTTTGTAGATGAGAAGTAACAAATTTAGAGTTTTAAGATTTGTATATTCAAATTTAGTATTATTTACTTAGCCTCATGCAATTTATTTTGCAAAATATGTATGTGTAACTATTAGAAATAAATTCTTAAAAACTGCCTGTAGGCTGTTTCAAGAAATCATATGTGCAGTTTGTAACATGATAAGATAAATTTTATTATGTATTCTTCACTGAAGAATTATCATTAGATAATAACTGTGTAATGTAGATGATAGAGTGAACATCCACTCACCTGGGCCGATTCTGCATATACAATTGTCCAAAGAAAATGAAAGCCATGTAAATGCCAACATAGTAGAATGCCACTGTCCAGTTTTCGGTCATCCATTTCCTGTACTTATGATGAATAAATTCGCTCTCAAACTCGAACACGTACGAGTAATTCGGCGTTATGTCCAAATTGTAGTTAAGTTTCGAAGCCTCCATTATTATTTGTTTAATGTCCTATAGTCACTAAAAAAGGCTGCCACAGTTCGAGTATATCACCTCTAGATCGCCGCACCGATCATCACAACTAAAGGAATTAACCTAAAAATATTAGCAAGGTACGAAGAGTATCGCTTGCTTTATCACAGATGACAAAAATGTCAATATTTCAATTGAGAGGCGAGCCGTACTCCTTTCGTGAGACTAATTTGTGTAATGACCGCGGAATATGTTCACTTTGACTATTTATTAGCAGCGATAAGGCACTGCCGGAGACCGAACTTATAGCGTGGAGATCGGTAGCAGCGACAGCTCCGATATTAATGAAATAATTATATGAGCCGCTCGGAGATTCGTGTCAAGACAGACACGCCGTTTCTTGAATTTCGTGAATGAATTTCTGTTCAAGCACTCCGATTGTCTGACTGACAGTTACGTACACACCCACCTCATGGCGCGTTCACGTCAGTTTTGACATTGACAACTAACAATTCAACACAGATTGTCACAGATAACATAAATATTCATTGATTAATGTACTTTCAATTGGTCATTGGAGCTAGAAGTCTAGAAGTTTAGTCGTGCAAGTTGCAATCTGTTTTATAATTTTACTACTACTTCCAACTATATTTCATTAAAGGCGCACTTATGAGTTTGAGAAAACTTATTTTGTGAACTTTTTTTTAAACTTTTATGCTTTTTATTCCTTGCTATTGTATACTATATTGTTGTTTCTCGAAATATTTTTTATAATAGATTGTTCTATATTCAAAATATAAAATTCTTAATAAAAATAGAAATCTCAACAATACAAAACTAAATATAGTGACAAATTTACCAGGATTTAACCACGATCATTTCCGGGGGATCACGTGAAGATGAACCTGGTACGGACATTACTAACTATTTAGCATTACTATTAACCCCTTTCTCTCCTTGACGGCTCCATAAATAAAACTGCTTTATTTTGAATACTATTTATTTAATATTTTAATTTAAACGAAATATTAATAAATATAAAGTATATTACATCTAAATATAAGTTGCGCTAAACAAACCGTTAAAAATAACTATATGGACAAACAGACAGACAAACGTAGAAAATTGGTTAAAACTAGTCTTCTCTTATGAAGACAGACTGTTATGTTATATACAGCCATAAATATACTAACAATTTTTTATCTAAAAAATGGCACAAATATACCTACTCCATTCGTAATATACCATCTAAGGTCCATGGCACGAATTCATAGGATGGGGCCCACTCTTTGTTTAAATATTTTAGATTCTTGAATTATATAAGCACAAAAAAATCTATTTTAATAAATGTATATATTAGATTCCTGTGCCTTTCATAGCACTTTGTCAAGACCGTCTTAGGTCACTATGCCGTGGTAGTTTGCCGTCGCTACCACGATTCTCTCCTAAATAATACCATAGAATAAATATAATATAATAATACTGATTTATTCTTTATTAATCTTAATTAATAACATTGGCTCCTTACAAAAACTATGCGACAAATATTTCTTATAACTAAATCAGCAAACGTAGCCATACCGGTAAATCTTTTGATTAATTCCTTCCCAATCGGTAGGAAAGGTTGCGTTTTGCTAATGTTTGCTGTTGTTATATTATTATATATGTCTGTACTATTAAAAAATGTGTACATATAAAAAGAGGGCGTATCTCCAATATTAAGGACTTTGTGAAAGATGCCAGATACCACGTCGATTCTGTTTCCGCTAGATAGCCGATAGGACTGTCCTTGTTGCTTGGTTACTTCCGGTTCATATGCCACCATACCCTCCAGTACGGTTAGGGTAACGTTATGTAGTTCTGGTGGAATATATTTCTCTTGTACATATCCTGAGAAAAATAATTAGAATTAATCCCTTCGCGTTTGAGAGCGTAGTGGCCTAGTGTTTTGCTATGCTCGAAGGGTAGCGAATTCAAATATGAAGTTCTAGACAAACTTCCAAAATATTAAACTAGTACTGGATAAAATATCTTATAAATATCTAATTTTATCCAGTACAGCAAAAACAAAGACGAAACAAGCTTAAAGCTGAGCGATATCATTTTTAAAAGATTGCAAACAAATAGAATATTGTTATTTTTAAACATTCATGTTTAACACACATTATTAATTTAGTAACTATTATTAATATACCTTTATATACCATAAAATTATTAGTGTTAACATCCGATTAACTACTTAACAAATATTCTTTATAGTTTTTTTATAACAATCATACTCATAAATACACATATTTGTGTTCATGAGTATTATTGTCTGTTTTAGTCTGCGTGTTTAGTTAATACATTATGTGTGTATTTACAAAAAAAAATGATAAAATACCTAAACGTATTTTATCAGTTGTCTAGTAGGTACCCATAACACAAACTCTACTTAAGTTGGGACAAGACGACGCTGTATGATTTATCCTGAGTTATTATTATTAGTCGTGAATCAGTTTGATTAAAAATTACGATACGAAACTGGTAAATCCAAATAGATCTATATTTAAATTAAAAATACAGACGCGTCAATATAGCTTATTAAATGCACCGCCCACTAACCTGTGCTTTTTTTTCTTATGGATGATAATGGAATGATGCACCCGCCTGCGCTAATGGTTTACGCTAGCGGGGCAGCAGTGGAGGATGATAAAATGAGCATGAGGTCATCGTGGTAAATTGCCTATCAATGTATCACATGGTACATTGTACATTGCTTGCCCACTGCAAGCAATGTACAATGTAATGTACAATGTTATGAGTCCACATTACTAACAATCCACTTTGAGCTACTAACCTGCGTTTGCCCTATGGTTGACTGGGAGAAAATGCATTAACACGTTAAGTCTGTCTTATGCACCTTTATTTTTGTATTTATGTCTAGGCTTTGATAGATAAATAAATACCTGGAAAATCAGCTATGAACATAACATCGCTGTAATTGTTCCACGATCGTACATAGTCTCTTATTTCGTCTAATCTGCTCCTCCAATTAGACGCTTCGTCCAACAGTGGCATCAGGTAAGGTGTCCTCGTCAAGAGCGACCAGAAGGCCTTCAATATATCAACATTAGGATCGAACATGCGTTGTGTAAATCGGCCATTCAATGAACACCACACGTCTATGTAAAGCGATAAATTATTGGACAAAACCGGTTCCGTTCGACTCATACTTGCGTCAATCAAGTTCTTTTCTAAGCATCTCGCGTATTGGTATACCATGTCCCCGTGTCTCGTCCATCTGTCGTTAGGAGCGTAAACTTGAGGATCAACATAAAATTCTTTATTCCTCTCGTTGTCGATAACTTTGACGACAACGGAATATGTGTCCCAGGTGTGGACCATCATGTCCCAGGAGTAGCCGTAGAGACCGTCCGTCCAGTTATTGAAGCCCTATAAAATACATATTTTTTTTACTGGATTATAATGGAGCCCCGCCTACGCTAACGGTTTACGCTGGCGGAGCACAAGTGGAAAATGATAAGATGAGTCAGGTCAGTTTGCCATCGTGATTAAATAACCAGGAATTAACCACGATGCGTTCCAGGTGGAACCGCGTGGAGGTCGACCTGCTACCATTGCTAGCGATGTGGTACATATTGTGGACCCCATTGCTAACAATACCCTTCTCTCCCCCTATAAAGTATATTAGAATATATATTTAGATCAAGTAGGAAAATACGTAGATATATTCTTACTTATTCAAACAGGTTCCTCTAAAAACCATCGTGGTTAATTCCTAGTGAATTCGCCACAATGTGCTAACTAACTTGATTTCACGATCATTCTATCATTCACCAGTGGTGCCCCGCCAGCGTGGACCGTTAGCGTATACAGGTGGAACATTCCATTATAAACCATTACAAGAATAGAAAAATGTACCTGTTAACACATTATGGCCCTAATTATGTGATGATATTAATAACAATTCTCTATTGTAACATTAAAATTTGGGTTTACGATCATTCGAGAATTGTAGACGCGAACTATGCTGTAGGTACAGTTTGCAATTGAAACGTAAAATTATAGATTTTATATTATGCTATAAGAAAAATACGCAAAATAGAATTGCTAACAAAAAATACCTTGGTGATAAAGTGCGAAAATGGCAAGAAGGCTTGACTCAAAATATGAAAGACAATAAAGTACATTGTAATTCTGTTACGCTTAACATCTTTTCCTTCTACGTTTACTTCAGTTCGAGATAGTTTGTTTTCCTCCTCCATTTCATTACATTTACTCGCAATTCCACTTTCGTCTATATCAGTTTCTACTGTATTAGAAATCATTTCATCTGAATTTTCAGTTGTGTCAGTAGGATCCATACCAGAGTCTTTAATTTCCTGATCAATTTCAAGTTCTTTATTTTCGGTATTACATTTATTTTCAGTGTCTATAGCATTCGCTTCATTTTCACATGTTTTCTCAGTTTTAACCAAAGCGTACCATCGTCTTAATTGACCGTCAACTATCCTTATATATTTTTTGCATAGTTTTATTAGAATTTTCGGCCAATTGAACGAGTAGTATAATGGCATTGTAGCTAGACATACCCATGGGAACATACCTGAAATGATATTATCTCATTTTATTCATTTAATCGGAACATTTATTTGTATGATTATTTTTATATAGTAAACTTGCGTCGCTTGCATAGATATACAAGGACATTTGACGTTGGTAAAGCACAGTATATATGACGTAAGGTCATATACATATATGTACATAGGTCTATATGCATGTAATATAAGCGTTTCAGAATTAATTCTCGAAACGATAATGCAAACCGTATCAAAATCTTTGTAGTTTAGAAGTACTTAGGTAAGCGGAGAAACATATTTTGATTTACTATTAGTAGATGACGGCCCCGCCGTTTTAGTAAACAATTTTATTCAAGAAGGTCGCAGGTTCGTTTCTGGATGTTTATGTATAGGTATATCTAGTACTCATACCATAGGTTAAGCTTAGCTTGGGACTAGTTGGCGCTATGTGAAATTATCCTTATTAGTAAGTAGATACATACATACATATAATATATAGACATGTAATATATATAACTATACCTATTGTGGCGTTATATGTAACTGCAAGTCATAACAAATAACTCGTTGAGAAACAACAAACAGTCCCATAAGGAAATATGTCATTACAATTAAATACCAATGTAAATGCCATGATTTCTTATTTATGTGCATATTATAGTATACTGGCGTTATTATAATACGCCAGATTATTTAATAATATTTTGTAAAATAATAATAATAATAATCACATAGTTTAAACATATTTTAGCATGTGTAATATCTGAGGCAGCATGTTTAAGTAATAAGGAATGAGTACTTTATTTGTGTGAATTTTCTAATTTTGTCTATAACTGACAAGTAAAAGTGTTCATCGCTAACGAAGCAGCCACAGGTCAAGTTATCATATTAATAGAATAAACGCGAAAGTTTCTGAGTATGGATGGTTATTTGTTACTCTTTCACCCAAATACAACTGAACGATTTTAATGAAACTTTATAGTAATATAGCTTATACATCAGAATAACACTTAGGTTATAAATTTCACGCGGTTGAAACCGCGGACACAGCTAGTATACCTATACACATTTTCATGTAATTCGTGTCGTTGGTGTAACTTATGAGCGTCCTCAAAATATAAAAATAACTCTACCTATTGTACTTTCTTCTACGGATACTGTACCCAAAAAAACTTAAAAATAGTCTGCAAACACTAAATATGCATCCTAGTAAAAATCACATAACGCCATAAGTAGAGCTTGTGTTATGAGTACTAGACAACTGATATAAATACTTACATTTTTTTTGTGAACATAAAAAGCACGCAAACCAACAACAAATAATCATATCATGATTTGACACCATGAATACAAATTTTGTACCGTGCGAGCAATCGAACCCGCGACCATCGGATGTAAAACGGTGTGCTAAATCGTTAGATCATCCAAGCCATCAAAATATACAAACCAATTCTGAAAAGTCGGCTGTTCATGAGATGAAACAAAGCACAGAACACCATGGCTACATGTCGACTTCTAGACCACATCATCCACATGGCCACCGTGAGGTCGAAAACAAATATGAACCAATGTACCACTATGTAATCTATTTGAGGTATTGTCAGGAACAATCTAGAAAGGAGTAAAGAATAATAAGGTTTTTGTACATCTACCGGTCTACCGAGGAAATTACTTAAAATTTTCCAAAGACATTTAATTACGCCGTTTCGCAACATAATACAGTCTTAATTATATAAAATTTTAATTACTATTGGTAACATTATCATTAAATATTTTGTGGTTAATGAAACGACTAATCAGCATTGTTATTGTTTTATTCAGTTGAGTCTTGATTTCGATTCAAAAAGACAGTGCATAATGCAATTGAAATCGATGTTGAGTTTAAAATTCAGAGTAGACCAACTAAAAATTAAGTAACAGCATAAAATAATTTAATCTATGTCACATTAATTGATTCATAATTTAAGAGCCGCATTATTTTTTATTACTGTTTTACTAAACAAGAAATAATTAGTTGGTAGAATTAGAGCATCACGGGATGTAAACAAATTCAGTAAGAATTTATAATAATAAACAAAATCATTTGAAAATCAACTAAATTATTTATTTGTCTGATCATTTTTGTACTTATTTTTGAGTTTAAGGCGCACTTGACTGTTCTGTTTCAACGTCATAGACTACGTTACATATAAGATAATATTACGACTACGGTAACCGTTTATCATCAGCTGGGCCGTATGCTTGATTACCGTCATCGTAGTATAAAAAAAAACATTACATTACTCTCGTGCTGATTCCTTATATGTCCATTTATGAATGAAATAGAATTTTTGTAATAAAAATCTAAAATTACTTGACAAGTCAAAAAGCTTTGAACATTTTTTTAAAATAAAAAAAGCATTACTCCCTTCTTAATTTTATTTATTTATCGGCACTTGGTAACAACGTTTTATTATATAGAAATATTATTTTTTACATGATGTCATGTTAAACTCTAACACGCGATGTAATGCTTAAGTTATTTACGTCATCTATCAAAATCTGTCAGCTAGTTTGGTCGCTATAGGTCGTTAGCAATGCCTAATGAAATTCATATAGTCTCGTGTATCTAGTACATAGTTCAGTTGTGTTCAGTAAGATCCGTAATAGTACGCTCCATGCCAAGGAGAGTGTAGAGTAGTGTAAAAAGTTTATAGTTTTACTTATAACGGAAATAATGTCAAAGAACCTAATTGAAATGATACTTAGGCGAAATATCAATTTAGTTTTAATCTCAGAAATTGCTTAATTGTTTCATTGATTGATGAATTCACTTCATTATTCTACTTGCTAGAACAAATTCTAGGTCCTTTAACATTTAGGATGTTTCTTTTTAATCATCTATAAACACTATGTCTAAGGCTGCTGATATACAGTCGCATATTAGCAGCCTTAGACATGGTTTAGTTGACATGTAGTTACTATAAGACCGTCCCAAAAAGGGCGCGGTCTATCAACTCGATGACCCAACGTTAGTAGTATACCGACAACCTGAAAACTGACCTACTGTATATTTGGGTTCTTAGACGTAGTATTAATATATGAGACGATTAAATGTTAAGCGAAACTTGCTAGTATATATCAGTGAATTTATCAATTATGACAGCCTCGGTGGTCTAGTGGTATAGCAAACCGCCTTACCTCCAATGGTCGCAGGTTCGATTCCTAAAAATATTTGTATTCATGAGTATGCAGTTGTCTAGTAGGTCTGGCCTAGCCTGGGACTCGATGTAAATTGTCCTAGGCCATTATTATTATTCAAACAGTCATTTCTGAGATTTTAAAAATAATCGATATTTTCGAAGTGTAAGGCATATATTTTTTAAATATCTAATTGTAATGCACAACGTTTTTTTATGGTATAAATATGATTACAGAAATATTTATTCTATTGTTTTTTTTACAATACAAGAGGGCTTTTTGAACTGTTTTAACGTAACTGAACCACAGACCTTGAGCTGTTCTGTTGACGCAGTATAATTTTGACGTTTTGAGTATTTGACGATTAGTTTAAAGTCTAATTTAAAGTACTTTATTTTATAACAAAATATATGACGTAGATGCTTACCAAAAACTTGTATGATATGACGCAAATAGCACAATTGCGCCTATTATGTTTCTTGGGTTGACGAAAGTTATACAAGTTAACATCTACATAAACTTGCCAAGAACATCGAGTTCTGTGTATAAATTTATACTTTTAACTGATTCCATGGTAGTAGAAACACCGATAACAAATCAAATTAATGTAAGAGATGTAGGTAAACTCGCCCCCTGCCATGTTGCATTCAAATATACGAGAATCTCAATACGATTATATTTTATTGTGTAATAGGATTATCTCTAATTAAACGACTTTTTTTATGATTCGTCATACAACGTCATGGGTCTCATGTTCATCAATTGCCTTAATTATATAAGTAGTTTTTAATTAAAAACTAAACAGTTTCATACCCAGTTGAAAGTAAATTGTTATTTTTTTTGCAATATAAATTTTTGATCCTATTTATGTAAGTTGTTGTTAAATAAAAAACAGGCAGTTTCATACCAACTTTAAAGTAAAATAATATTTACCCATTTTTTCAATCAACATTAAAAAAATAAGTTTATTTTTTGTTTATCGTGATATCGTTATTATGAAACTATGGTTTCCGATTACACTTTTTACAATCGGAGCTTAAACTTTCATACATGTTTTATTACAATCCTATATAATTTTTTTAAACAAAATAAGTATACTTACTTTCAGAAAAATATCATTCATAATACTGCTATTAATAACAGGACTTATTTTTTTTTTAATTTCCCACTTTAATCATGGACTTAGAAGAGTTGCGACGACTTATAACAATAATTTATTAATACTTACTTATAATATTTATTAATTAACGCTTACTTGAAAGGTTCAAACACCCAGTGCTCACTGAGATTCTGAACTGAATAGCCCGTAAGCCATTCTGCTGTGCCTTTTTTCAGGCCCGCCATAAAGTATAATATGAAGAATTGATACTTGAGCACGAAATAGTTCCAATAAGGTACCGTCTCCCTCCTTGTTGTCGTATCTAGGTAAGCATCTATTGACCTGGAAAATGAACATGTTGTAAGAAAGAATTTTATCAAACTATTGTGTATTTTTTATTACGTTATGCTTGCGATGTTCACTTCATTTTGCCTAAACTATTACTTTGGGAGAGCAAACGAATTGTTAGTAGGTAATAGCACAGATAGGAGAATTCTTGCAATCAAATAATAGTCAATATAATACTTAGACGGCCTCGGTGGTCTAGCGGTTTAGCACAACGCTTCACTTCTGATGGTCGCAGGTTTGATTCCTCGTACAGTGCAAACATTTGTATTCATGAATATGATTGTTTGTATCGGTCTGGGTGTATTCTATGTATATAACATATGTATTTAAAAAAATGTCTAAGTATTTATATCATTTGTCTAGTACCCATAACATAAGTTCTGCTTACCGTGGGACCAGATGACGCTGTGGTAATTGGTCAGGGATATTTATTTAGTAAAATTATGGAAATTCTTTACCAAACTTTTTTAAAATAGATTACATGTTTTTGATAAGGTAATTTTGTGTTTTCTATTTGCGTAACCAATAAGTAAATCGAAACCAATAACTCTATCCACAAATGAAAATTCGTTTCTAACTACCTATAGCATATTCATACCAATTAAAACTCCCGTCTATGAAATGTGTTATAATATAATAACCTTGTGCTAATAGTCATAACGACCGACTTATTAACTAACCTGACCTAATGCTCATCTTATAATTCTCCATTGGTGCCACGCCAAATTCAAATTCAATTCAAATTCAAAAATTATTTATTCATGTAGGACATTTTAGCCGCTTATGAACGTTATACGTTATACTTTATTTTTTTTCCCTGCCAGCGTATACAATCAACGAAGATGGGTTTACTATTGTATTAATAAATTGACATTGGGGGAAGGAGATTGTTAGACATAACTAATTCCTAGCAATGTATCATGTTAGGTTGACATCTACGCGATTCCCCCTTGAAACCATCGTAATAAGTTCCAGGTGAAAATGGCCACTATGCGCTAACTGTTCTGACATCTGTTCGTCTTATCTTCCTCTGCTGGTGCCCCGACAGCGTAAACCGATAGTGTAGGCATCATTCCATTATCATTCATTAAAATACATCTACATCCAAATAAACATTATATAAACACTTTTAAATATGACTCAAAAGTGCTTTCATTCTTTCATTCATAAAAAAAGAGCGGAGCTCTTGTCGTTGGAACTCTTGCTATTTTCCAAGATCTTCCATCAATCAATTTTTAGATGTTGATAATAGTTCAATTTTTTTCTTAATCTGCTTGATATAAGTTCGTCGTGTCGTATCAAGTGCCCCAACATTTTGTCCCCGCCTATTCTCAATAGTGTCTCTTTAACTCTTAGCAGTATTTCTTCATTTCTTATTTTATCTTTCCAGCTAATTCTTTCCATCCTTATCCAAAACCACATTTCAAAAGCGTCTCAAGGGTATACAAGGCTATATATAGTCTGAGGAGCACTTTGATTTGTTAGCTCTTATTAAAAGTACATTTAATATATTTATTTGTAATTAAATTATTGTTAAATTTCTAACGACCTGGTACTTCCTATTACTAAGTTCTACTACAAAAATAATATTACACTACGAACATGACGTTTGAGCCGATCTAAATACAAATAATAGGGATGCAAATTCCATTCGACTTGAGATATTTTTTTAGTATATCAGATTATCAATTTTAGCAGAAGAAATACTATTATAGTATGAATAATATATAAAAGGTCAAAAAGTGTTAGGCGGATTATAGAGGGCAGCAATTGTATTAGTTTTTGTTTGAGACAAATAAAGATTATTATTATTATTTACGTTATTGTCGCATTTTCTTAGCTTTATTATTATTTTCTTTTTTTATTCATATACACATACTCGAATTTCTTCGGTGTTGTAGTTTAGAGTTACGGATCATACTGATTATTATTTTTATTATTATTACATCCATCTATACCAGCGTTGTATAGATTGAGAGCACCTTATTTAAGTTGTGCTTATATCAGCAACAGCTGCAGCAAGCCCTATTGCCAACTTTGTATGTTAGTTTTTATTTTGTGTATCATTTATAATTTGTTGTGTTATTGTGTTTGGCCAGTAAATGATTTATTTATCTATATCCAATATCTAATCATAATAATATCTGTACACATAAAATATAATTGTCATTAACATAGCATTGCTTTATAGACTATTATTGTTGTAGTAATATAATTTTATTATACATAATGCCGGTTCAGCAAAAACGGTAAGTTAAGTACCTATTGTAAAAAAATAACTTATTGTCTTATTGAAATTGAGTTTAATATTGTTTGATTATTTACGTTTATATACCTACCATTCTGTTCGTGACGTCAAATTAAAAAAACTGAAATCATTTCCAGGTAGTATGATTTATAAAAGGTTTATTTATTCTGTTTTACAGCATATGAAAAGTGCAACACGTAAGTTTCTTTTATTTAGCTCGTTCTTCTTGTGACAGCTTTCCGAATGAGCGGTAGATTAAAAAATAAGTATAGTAAATTCAAACTAACGTCCGTAACGTCGTCCCTTTTAATCAAACGTCGTAACTTTTATCAAAGTATACCTACATATACCTACCAGTAACAGTTGGCTTGTGTGCACGCAAGCAACAGACCGACCAATCCGAACAGATAGCTGTGATTGTTCCAGAAACTTTTCTCAATCAGAAATAAGTACCAGTAACTGATAGTGAACATAGATGCAGTGAGACGGTACTTGTATCCCAACATGATGCCAAGTGCTCCTGGAAGTATATAAATTAAAGATAGTTAGGTCGTTTATTTGATTATTACAAATCACACAATTTGTAATAATCGACTTATTATCGAAATTATATTTACTAGTGGTCGAAATTCAACTACATTTAAATTAAATTATACAAAAGGTTCTATTGTCAACTACTTACATGTATGCGTGTGTGTATGAAATAGATGGCAGTGTGTGTAATGTTTTTTTTATTGATTAAATGTATTTTTTATGCATAAACAAAAAATATACTATATATGATTATAGATACTTAGAATTAGCGTTAAGATTCCCATTTTATTTATAATAAAAAAATAAGGAAGTATTTAAGTTACTAAAAAATGTTGCATACGTAGGTACCAACCTAAATACATATGAAATTTTATAAAAATGTAAATAAACAATTGCGTATACCCTGCTAACCTTTCTATACTAGTAAAAGTAGTTTTGATGTCATAATAAACACGTTTTAGGCCCTTCAATTCATTACCACGTGTTTTGGATTCCGTATCCGATACAAATCTGTCTGTTCATACATAAATTCTATATTCTATCTATTACGTAGGTACTTGTGCATATACATATATAGTAATAATTGTATACTTACTATACTTAGATCACAGATAAGAAAATACCGCATACTTACTACTTATAAACTTTATACGTATCTAAAAAAATGTTAATTGATTATAGACTAAATGTTAACTGCAATTCTTTATATTCAATACCACAATGATGGTAAACAGTTAACGTAGCCCATGGACGCTTGCGGAGTCCTGTGCTCACGGCCTTAGGGGCCCAGCGGTCCCTTCGGCCTTTTGCCGGTGGCTCTTGATATTTTGTTACCTTAGATAGTACATTTAATAAAAAAAATTAATGACAATTAGTTATATATTTACCTAACCACATAGCAGCGTATACAAGGGCCATGTAGGGCATAGATACAGCTCGTATGAAGGGAATAAGAGGGAAGTGGCATGTGAGAGGGTCACCCCAGCGTTCATCCATAATAGCACCTCCCCTTTCATCCGGTATATCAAACAACATGGCAACACCTAGAAAAATAGATAAATTAATATTACAAATGTGAAAGTGAGTTTGTTTGCTAAGCTTTTATCTATTATCAACCTAACTTCTAATCATGAAACTTCCATGTGGTAGCATTTGTGACATTAGATAATTCCTAATTATAAATATTACCTTCTTTTATGTACCTAGTTGGAATAGCAAACAAGCTTGCGGCTCACCTGATGGTAAGAGGTAACCGTCGCCTATATACTTAACAGCAATATGGATATCACATTATCATATGTCACCAGTGATATCACTCATGCGTTGTCGTTCCACCCTTCCGATCGATCCCCCGTACAATTAAAACGGCGATTGAAATTACGACGGCCTGAGCCGAGGTCCGAACCCCTAGCGGTGCCCTCAGAATAAAGTCGTATCCGTCAGGCAGGAGTTGGCTTTCAGCCGCTCCATAAGTCCTTCCGCGGGTTTGGAGTGCCATCTACACTCGCCCCCTAACGTCCAGTGAAGCTGCAAAGGCCAGCTGCGGCATGTAGTTACATTACAGTAGTCCGAAAAAAAGGGAATTAGTCTTCAGCTTCTCTATAAGTCCTTCCGCGGGTTTGGAGTGCATCAATTTTTGTTAATTTTATACGTATGTTAGTCTGTGAGGTATCTTACTAATATTATAAACGTGGATGTTTGAGTGTGGATAAATGGATAGATGTTCGTTACTCTCGTCAAAACAACGGATTGGATTTTAATGAAAATTTCCAATAATAATGGTATATCAGATCTTATAGGTACATCAGAATAACACATAGGTTATAAATTTCACGCAAGTGAAATTACGTACACAGCTAGTATATTATATATGCTAAAAAGTTGTTCGAAATAAAGAAATAAAATTGCATTGTACAAATAGGAATAATCTCTAATTTTTGAGAGCCTTTGGGTATATCAACGCCATCAAATTCAAATTCAAATTCAAATTCAAAATATCTTTATTCATGTAGGTCTATTACAGACTCTTATGATATGTCAAATCTACCGTCAGTTCGGAATGATATCGAGATGAGAAGAACTGACAAGAAACTCAGCTCGTAATTTTTTTTCAAATAATAGTGGAACATGTTTACGATAAATACAGTTATTAAAATTCAAATTTGGGAGAATAGAGTGACCACCAGCATATGCTATCGCAAAGAACAAAAAATTTAATCAGTGTTCACAACCTGAACAGACCAGTCCCCACAAGCAGCACCCGTTCACGAGTATGACGTATGAGCCAGCCATCATTGTACTCAACCATATTTGAGGGAGCACATCGACCCGGCCCACCACGCCGCCACAAGTTTGAACTTTATAGCGAGCATGACTGTTTCAGGTTACTCCACTACGTCAATTATATTATTTACAGCATAGGCTGTACCGATCACAGTTTTCACCCATTACAATATTAAATTTACATTATTTAATTTACAATATTTAATTTACAATATGTCATTACAAAATTTATAATAAGTTTCTTTATTGTTATTACATTATCCATGTCAATGGGAAAAATTATATGCCTCATAACAAAAGTTAAAATTGTAATTAAGTCCACACATTGTAGTCATTTAAGTAGTCGTTTATTTTATAATAAGCTTTAGAGCAAAGTGTTTTTTTTACATGCATCTTAAATTTGGCTTCACTTAAATTTAAAACACTATCTGGCAATTTATTATAAAAACGTATACAATGTCCCATGAAAGATGTACTTACTTTTTTGAGACGATAACTAGGCATATTTAATTTATTTTTATTCCTTGTATTAAAAGCGTGTAAGTGACTATTTTTTGGAAATAAATTTAAGTTTTTGCGTACATACATAATATTTTCATATATATATTGAGAGGGAACAGTAAGAATACCTGTTTCTTTAAAGCGTTCTCTAAGAGATTCGCGACACGGTAAATTATATATTGAACGAATTGCTCTTTTTTGTAATATAAAAATTGATTCTACATCAGCCGCTCTTCCCCACAATATAATACCATACGACATTATACTATGGAAGTAACTAAAATACACTAGTTTCGCTGTTGCAGTATCAGTCAACTGTCTAATTTTTCTGATAGCAAAAGCAGCCGAGCTTAGTCTTTTGGCTAGTGTGAATATATGTGGACCCCACTGCAATTTATTATCTATTACAATACCAAGAAACGAAGTCTCATCAACAAAGTCCAAAACATGATGATTCATACTAACAGTTGTCGTTACTTGTTTTACATTTGGTAAAGAGAATTTAACACATTTTGTTTTCATTGAATTAAGCGCTAGATTATTTGATGTAAACCAGTTTAGAACATCCTCAAGAGCAATATTTATATTATTAAAATCCTTTGTATTTCTTTTCACTTTGAAAATAAGTGATGTGTCATCAGCAAACAATACTATGTCAAGTATGTTTTGAAACTGGTATGGTAAGTCATTTATATAAACAAGAAAAAGAAATGGGCCAAGTATAGAACCCTGGGGTACACCCATTTTTATAAATGACCCCTTGGACTTGCTTCCTTTAATGTCTACCACTTGAATTCTATCGCGCAAATATGATCCAATGAGTTCTGAAGATTTTTCTCTAATTCCATAATGCTCTAGTTTGCGTAATAATATCCTATGGTCAACGCAATCAAACGCTTTAGAGAGATCACAGAAGACACCAATGGCATCCTGTGAATCTTCCCAGGCACCGAAAATACTTTGTATTAAGTTAATGCCTGCATCAGTAGTAGACCGTCCACTCATAAATCCAAATTGCTGTTTATGAAATAAATCATGTGTATTAAAATGAGCTAACATTTGTGTAAGTAGTATCTTTTCAAAAATCTTACTAAATACTGGTAAAATTGAGATAGGTCTAAAATTTGATATATTGTCTTTGTCACCAGATTTAAATAGCGGTATTATTTTACTCACTTTCATTAGATCTGGAAAAATACCTTGATCAATGCTCATATTAAATATTTCAGTTAAATGTGAAGCAACTTCACTTATTACAGTTTTCATGACTCTAACTGACATACCCCAGATATCCTCAGTACCTTTTAGATTGAGAGCGTTGAACGTTTTTATCACACAGGAGCAACTGATATGATGAAAAGTAAAGTCATGAACGCAAGGATTTATGGTATTTTTTAATAATGTTTCAGCTAAACTAGGTGACGAGTTTAAATTTTCCGTAGCTTTGAGAGGTATTGTTGAAAAGAAATTATCAAAAGTTTGAGCAACTAGTTCATTATTATTAATAATAACGCCATTTTCTGCTTTTAACTCATATTCTGACTGGCGCGACTTAATGTTACCTGTTTCTGTATTTATTATATTCCAGGTAGTTTTTATTTTATTTTTAGAAAACTTAATTTTATTCTTTAAATAAAGTGCCTTGGCGGCCTTACATACTTTTTTGAATAACTTTGAATAATTTTTGACATATTCATAGAATATAGGATCACGCAAATATGATCTAATATCATATAATTGATACATATTTTCCCTACTTATATTGATACCTAATGTTGACCATTCAGCGTACTTAGAATTATTGACTTTAAGTTTCTTTACTGTAAAATTTTTATCAAAATGATTTTTTATTATATTGAAAAAACGATTATATGATATATTTGGATCAATATTATCAAACATCAAAAACGGTAAACTTCCATTTAATCTGTTTTTAAAATTCTGTAATTTAAATGCTGTTGTTGGTCTGTAGAACTTATACATAATCTCGTTTTTTTCATTACATGCGAATGTTACTATTTGTCCACAATGGTCTGACGGCAATCTATTTATAATCGATTTATTTAAAATACTAAAATTACAATATATATTATCAATACATGTTGCCGTAGTGGATGTAATCCTAGTAGGTTCAAAGAAAATATGATCCAGATCAAAACTTTTAAAAAGGTTTCTAATTTTATTACTTATAGGACTATCAACAAGAAGATCTATATTGAAATCCCCACATACCAAAATAAATTTGTTACTTTTGAATGCTAACTTCAGTACATCTTCCATGGTAGACTCAAATTTTTCATAGTCTGAGTTAGGAGGCCTATACACACATATAATTATGTGTTTCTCTAGTTCTACACATGATAATTCTATAATGCATTCATTTGAAAGTGCTACAATATCTTTACGTTCTTTCCCTTTAATGTTATTTTTTAATAAAATAATTGAACCACCTCTAATTGAAATTTGCCGAGTAAATGTACTCAATATTTCATAATTTGGTAACTGAAATACCATATTGGACTGTTTTAACCAATGTTCTGTGAGGCATACAATGTCAATATTAAATTTACTTATAAATAATTCTATCTCTAATTCTTTGCCAAGAAAGCCTTGAATATTTTGATGTACTAAATTTAGTTGTGATGGCTTTCTCTTTGTCTGTAACTTAAGTTTAAAGATTCTTGCACAGAAACATTAGTAAAACTACTAAAAACTGTGCAGTCAGAATAAGTACCCGTTATACTACTTATAACAGGATTGTGTATATTATAAGCTAACAAAGTAGCTATATGTCTTTTATCAAAATGTGACAAATACAAAGTATTTTTAGTCAATGTAAATTTTTTTACAAATTTATTTGTATCAAAACAATGAATGTTGTCATTATAACAGCTCATGTTATATATATGAGTGTTAAGTTTAAAGATATAATTATTTCTATTCTTTGATAATGATTTTGAGTATGGAAATGTACAAATTACAAATTTTTTAATTCTCATATTTGAGACAGATTCAAATAAGTTCATCAAATCATTTTGAGTGATACCTAAACTATTTCCAATGAATAACACAATAGTTGTGTATTCAGTATAACTATTTTGATTTTTTAACATTCTATCAACTATATAATTAAATGGGGCATTCGGCATACAATTGTTTTGGATATGTTCACTCAAACAGTTATTCATGAGCGATCCTAGATTTATTCCTATACTATCTGAATATATTACAGTGTTATTCTTACATGTGTGGTGACTACTAACAACATTGGGTAGTATATTTGTTTGTTCCGGAGTGACAATGGATGTTGATGAAGGTGATGTGTAATTGCCCGACATAGTGTTGCAGTCTGCATGTTGCTGTGACAGTTGTTCTGATGTTCCACTTTCACTTTTTGAGTTAAATTCAAGCAATTCCTTCATCACAACATTATGTTTTGATATTTGAAACTGAGCATGTGAGTACTTGTCACTAATAGCATCCAATGTTGTTTCCAGTTCTTTTATATGCAATAATAACCTTGTAGTATTTGTATCAAACTGTAATTTATGGGTCCAGAACTGATTTTCATAATATTCTAATTGTTTTTCAAAATTAAATTCTTTTTCTTTTACTAATTTTGATAAGGCAGTTTGATTAAGTTTGAAAGATTTTCTTAATCTTTTAATTTGTCTGCTTATTTTTCTATAGTTCTTACTATTGTAATTAGTTAGAGGGTGCTTTACTCGCTTCTGTTGTACAAAAGGCTTCTGTGTGTCGGAGATGGAGTGGACAGGGTCAGGCTCATCACATACACTTTGTTCGATCAACTCGGCATATAATGTCATAGTCTTTTCTGTTTCTTGGTCTCCCATTTTTGTGGTCAATGTGTTAATTTTATTATATGCTTCTGACAATTCACATTCACGTACCCCGAATTAACATTTTTACATCTATGTTCGTAGTCTACCCGCAGATAAGGAGGAATTCATAGATAGGGTCTATTCTACATTACCCAGAAACAGTTTATTTTGTGCAACTTTATAGAGTGGCAAATAGGCATACGGTCATTATTTTAATTATTCTCACCAAACAGTATTCTTGTCACAGCCAAACTAGATGAATCCTTCTGTATATACATGTAATCAACTATTTTCGTATACGTAATTTCATTAATATTAAAATCAAATTGTTGCTGAAAATGTTCATTTATAAACTTATATGTAGACGACATTCTTTCCTTTAGTTTCATTTCTGTAAATAAAAAAGTACGATAACTACGCTTCTAAATATGCATAGGAGGTAGGTATGTATCACTACATAGGTAGGCATGATTTTGCCACGTAACATTTAAACGAAATTCAATATTAAAATATCATATTAAAAGCTTACCTGTAAGCTCCCGTCTAGTCAATAAAGATTTAACTGTGAAAATGGGTTTATTATGAGATGGGTTTTGCATCCGTTTAAATAAATAATATATTCAGCTCATTATAAATATGTCGTAATAATTATTGGAGCGAGTGATATTGCGCAAATCTGTCATATTTCATGCGGGATTTTCATTTCGTTGAATCTGTGAGAATAATTGATATGACTTGACTATGTGCTCGGATAAGGGAGATGTAGGGGGATGTAGGGAGACTGTTAGTAATAATAACTAGTAATTCCTTTGCTGGCAATATACTATTAATAGAACTTGTAGGGAGGTTTTTAGTAATGAGAACTAGTGCCTCCTTCACTGCAAGTTACTAGGACAGGTTGACCTACACGCTTACCTATTAGGCCTTGACCCTTCATTAAAGAGTGAGTTTATAGCAGTTTCTATATTGACTGTCGTATGCCTAATACTTGTTAATGGCGGAAGGGAATTGTTAGTAATGTGGACAGATGACCCCATTACTAGCAATGTACTATGTCAGGTTGACCTCCACGCGGTTCCCCCTGGAAACCATCGTTATACATTTCTGATGGATTTGTCACGATGGGCTAATTTTTTTTTTTTTCATTTCAATTCCATTATCATCCGCTAAAAAAAATACTTGTTAATGTGTATTTACTTAGAACAACATTTATTTAAAAGAGGTACGCGCAAGATTCTTGCACGCTGTAGTCGATGAGTCTGCGTTCCGAATGAATGGTAGATTTAAAAATATACCTATGTCTATTCAAAAATCCTTATATTAAGTTCAATTGAATAAAGAATATTCCTATTTCTATTAGGACAAATTAAAAACAACAAAATGTTTTGAAATATTTATTTATTCAATTCTACACTGTTCGATAGCATTCAGTTATTAGTGAACACTTAATTATTGTCTTATATATAATATCGAAATGGCCACAATAATAGTTATATATCACTAAACTTACTTATCAGTATTTAATAGTCCATCACCAAATTTATTTTACTTGTATGTTCTGGAATTGAGAGTACTCATATCATAATAATAATTAATATTCTTGGACTATTCACACAATGTCATCTAGTACCAAGATAAGCAGAGGTTGTTATGGATATTAGACAACTGATACAAATCTTTAGATTTTTTTGTAAATACAGACATAATATATACAGAAAACACCCAGACCGATACAAACAATCATAGTCATGAATACAAATGTTTCTACCGTTAAGATAAAAAAAACTAGAATTCCGTATTTGTGTTCTGAGGAATTGTTCGACATGATGCCGACAGCCACCTTTTACCACCGCACCGCTCGCCATCGACAGGGAATTCATCCCCACACACTGAAACCTAAGTGGTCCCGAACAGTGCGGTTTCAGAGGAGTTTCCTCCCGCGTACACTTAGATTGTGGAATGAACTTCCAGCTAATACGTAGATAAAGTGACATATGACAGCCTCGGTGGTCTAGTGGTTTAGCACACCGCTTTACTATTCGATGGTCGTGGGATCGATTCCTTGCACGATACAAACATTTGTATTCTTGAGTACGATTGTTTGTATCGATCTGGGTGTTTTCTATGTATAATATTTATATACAAAAAAAAATGTATCCATGTATTTATATCAGTTGTCTAGTACTCATAACACAAGCTCTGCTTAGCTTGGGACTAGATGGCGCTGTGTGAATCGTCCGGAGATATTATTATATTATTATTATTATTAAAGTATTTTCGTATTAGAACTATATTTCGGCTAAAATGTAATCTTCTAATTGGTAATTCTATTAAATTATCTATATAAAAAAATATATAAGAAAAAAAATAAATCGAATGTTTCTATTCATCATCATCATTAGCCCACTGCAGTCCACTGCTGGACGTAGGCCTCTCTCAAGGCTGGTAACTAGGCAATGTTTCTAAACATTCTACAAGATATTTCGCTGGTTTGGTTTTTACCATTGTAAAGTTTGTAATAAACATATTTAATTGAGTAATACCGTGATAATATACATGTAAATGTGTAATAAAATTAATACACCACCTCTATACCAATATATTTAAGTAAAAAATGAAATAAAATATCAGTGATTCTCTCTGAAAGATATCGTTGGTTACCTGTTTAATAATATTCAACGGCGACTAGCGAGAATTACCACTGAAAATTAAAAACACTAACATGACAAGCAACATACATAAACAATTAGAAATTGATTTTCTAGTGTACCTACATTGTTTTTAATTACCCATTCTTTAAATGAATATTCAATTTATTCATCTCTGTTCCGTGGAAACGATTGGGTCAAAAGATCTTTTACTAAACTTAAAAATAATTTACTAGTACCTAGTGCTATTATGATGTGTTATAACATAGGATTAAGTCTTATATAGGCTGTCCGTTGATCCCTATGTAACTAAAAAATAACGTAAGTACAGGAAGTTTTTTGCAAATTTGTATGACCTATCACACACGGACATAAAATTTTTACTTAATATGTTATGAAACGAAACAAAAAGACATGTGCTTTATTTGTTTTTAATTGTAGTGTTTATTATATTGAGTACGCTACGTGAGTTTAAATAAGTTAATAAATAAGAATAAATTAGTTGATTTAAGTTGAATTATTATCCATTTAAATAAATAAATAACATTGAGTAAATATAGTCTTTTTAATCCGAGAGTTCACCAACTAGCCTTAGTATATTTTTTATTTTTATGGCTTGGTCTAGCTTTAATTACTGCTCTTAATCACTTTACATTTTACAAATAAGTACTGCCAAATAACGATAATATCTGCAAAATTAATATATGCAGCCAATTGGTTGCAAAATTTAATGCTAATATATTTTTTAATTATTGTTCTACATGACGCAGGCATGAATGTGACTGATTGACATATGTTGCGCGCGCGCTTTTTGCGTTTTAGCATGAGGAATAGAAAAAAACATGTTTGTACTAATTATTCTTATATTATGAATTAACTGATTTTTGATGGGATAAAATAAACTAAAAAAACATCAATAAACTTGAATTAATTTATTATTACTAACAAAATAAACTCAGGAACTTTAATATCGGATACAAATATAGTTACGCACTAAATAATATACAAATTAATCTCAATAGCTGTAACACAAACATCACATCACAGGTTAATGTAATATAAATTTAGCAAATCACTCAGTTGTGATGTTACATATAGGTACTGCTGCCATTATTAATGTATCAATGAATGCTAGTAATGTATGAAGTTCATATTGTGAACTGTAAAACCAAAAAGTATACATCTACTAAAGGGTTTTGTTAACTATTCTAATTGCTATGCAAAAGCTGGCTTCTATGTCAAGCTATTGGCCGTAGCCCTTGCAGTTTCGCAGAGGCGACTGCTTCTGGAACAGCTGAAGGCCAACCCCTGCGTGGCGGATACCACATTAATCTGAGAATACTGGTAAAGCTTCGAACTATGCTTAGACTGTTTTAATTTCGATCCTCGTCGACATAAGATAGAGGCACAATCAGAGGATCGAAATGGGAATAATCTTTAATTAAAATAGCACGAATTGTACATGCTTTTAAAGTTCATATTCAAAATTACAGAACCAGACTGATTCTACATTTTAAGCATTTTCTTATGATGAAATTTTGTTTAGTTTCAAGAATACATAACATTGGTTTCGTTTTGGGTATAACCTTATATAGTTTAAAGGGTTATTTGATAAAATCCTACATGTTTTTTACAGTGTAAAGGGAGATTCAGTGAACAAGTTGCAGTTTTTGTGTAAAATTATACATACTGCGTAGCACAGTTAAAATAATAAACCCCTATTTGTTTAATCTGTTGTATATACAGACTAAAGCATACAATTTCTATTGACCACAAATTCATTTATATTTGTTTTTAATTATTATTTATTAAATTAACACGAATATTGGTATCAAATTAAAAAAAATATATTTTTTTGTACATGCAATTAACATTAAGATTACAAAACTATATGGTATCTTATACTACGTATATATTATAATATGTACGTATATATAAATAGAATATATAATATCTATAGGTACATTAAAAAAAGAATAGTTAAAAAAACCTTGACCAATACGAAAGAACCTCTTAGGGACTTGTAAAAAAAATAACATTGTACATTGTCGTTAATACGCCATTGTCAATGTTCACCATAAATCATTTATGAAAATTAACCTCATCCGTATATTAAGCTGGCGACCCACCAGTATCAGCCAAACGTAATATAAAGGTAGAGCTACACCAAGCGCACTTAATCTTCTTACACTATTCTTAATTTTTATAAAGTGTAGAGACATTAAGAACAGTTAACAAGCTGTCACCATTCTTTGCTGGACTTAAAAGACTGGAATAAGCGAAAAATTCTGAATTTCATTCATTTACATAAAAACAGATTCATGATAAGTTATGAAAACAATTTTGATGTTATTATTCTTGATCCGTCAGCGACAAAATATCGTCATAAAGGCGTGTAGGAGCCGCTAAAATGATAATAATTCGTTATTATGTATGATTTATATTCATTCACGACTCATCCTTGTATGAATAAAACTTAACCTACACCATCTCGAATAGTTACATTACAATAAAATGTAATTTTATACGTTACAATGTGAACGTTTGTATGGTTGGTCGGATCAAGGTCTGTGAAGAAAACAGTCAGCACAGTGTATATAATTAAAAAAAAAAACTCGTCTACTAAAATCAAACATGGCAATCTACACGATAGACATGAATATTTTTATATTACATAGTCTTTTAGGTTGGCCGCTAGCTTTAAAATAGCTCTCATTGATCGTCAGATAGAAGTTTTGCTACTATATAATATAGAAAGAGAAGTCCAACGTTGCTGTCTCGTTCTATCTCATGTATACAGTAACGACAACTAGTAATATATTTGTTTGGCATTTGTTGCGTATTGGGATTTAAAAATTTCTGATTACGGGTTTTATACCTTATTAATTCACACATAATAATATCATGTATATATATTTTTAATATTCGTAACAAACACTGTTCTTATAGATAAAAATAAAACAATAAAATAATAATATTAATAACATTAAACCAACAATGTTGCAATACATTAATATGACACCAGAGATCACTCTTTCACAAACTAAACTCAGTTAATTCAAGATATGTTCAGATTTAAGAGCGTCGTCTAAAACTTCTATAAAGTCTACAAAACGGAATGTACTTATAGATAGCTATCTGGTTAATAAACTACAGCTTAATGCGGCTACACATCAGAATACAGTTTCTATAAAAAAGCAGTTAAAATAAATCCAAATGTAAGAGATTAGAGGAATATTGTCATGCTCACAATTAAATTTTCTTTTAATATCACTTATTTACAAAATGGCATTTAAACATCTATTTTTCTATTCTTATTCATTTTAAGAATATATTTCTGTGAGGAACTTAGGACTAAATAAATACGCAATTTAATATGTATATAAATATCGGACTCCTTACTATGGATTATTAACATGTGCTTAGCAAACGTGAATAATAAAAAACACTATTTTATGATTAAATTACTTTTTTAGATATATATTACTTAATTTAATTAATTATTTTTATGTGTGTCTCTTCTACTATAATTGCTGTGCCTGTATTATGCAATTCATATAATTGGAAAGAACTCCTATAATATATTATATTATAAGATGTTCTAACAGTTTCACTATCAATTTAACACAGAGACAAAAATGAAATAAACATTTCTATTTAATTATCTGTCAAATAAATAATAATAATAAATACATACATACATCCATCACTATTTTTCTTAAAAATAATTGAATTACAATTTCCCATTAGATTATAATTATTGAACAAGTCGAGTGTGACAACATTCCTATCCCTTACAATAATAAATCATCTGGCAACACATCATTTCCATATTTTCCTAGTAATCCTAAGTACAATTACATATTTTGTAATACTACGAATAATAATTGATAATTTTGGTTTTTAGTTAAACTTTGCAAAAACACCTAACATTAGTTGGCAAAAATTTTGGATGACAGCAGACATTTGAAGATCAACTATTCGATATCGCATCTAAATTCTAACGAATCAACATTATAATAATTTAATATAATAACGAGACAATCCGAATCATAATATCCTCGCGCCAGTATAAAAACCTTTTTCTTTTATTCTGTTTATCCTTTAAAGGAAAGGCATAGGGAACTGCGCCCATACAGCCATTCAAAACCTTATTATATCTAATCCGTAAATCACTGTCGATATTTTAACAACATATCGATAAAATTTTGACAGTGACAGTAACATACAGTCGGTCCGAAATGTAAAAATATGGAATAATTGACCACAGACCTATAATTCGATTTTGCACAATCGAATTTTAGGTCTGTAGCAATCTTAATCATTCAAACCAATCCCCCGGATAAAAATATATTTCTATTAGCTCTAGAAAAGTCTAAATAAATTATCACATGACATCTCGTTTATTATATATGTTAAAGAAAATTATAGGCCAGTATAATTGACATTTTATATACATAAAAATATTTTTTAGACTTAGAATTGGCACAGAATTGACATTTATATTTACAATTTAGACTTTACGGGAGTGCCATATGATTGATATTTCTTACCATTTTTGTTTACATATATAATTTTAGTGTTTAATTTGTGTTATATATCTAATAGAAATATTTTTTTGGGGAATATGAGACAGAAGAGTCTCGACATACATCGAGAACCAATCAAACTCAATCGCTCGATCATTCGAGACAAGTTTATAGACCAATATATATTATTTTATATTTATTTCATTATAGACCAAGTTTTACTGTTTCACTACTCATCCGTCCGGTCGATCGATTGTCTAAGAGTACAATCGTATGCCACCTGCTATTCTTCTGGACACCACCTTTTACCTCGATCGTCATAACAGAATTCATGATATGACATACAATTCGTTATAGTTTGAATGGCAACACTGGTGTTGGTTACGAATTTATCCTCGTTCGTATAATATCTAAAATACGTGTTGTATCGTTGTGTAGGTATAAGTCTACAATTGAGATATCCTAATGTCTGTAGATGACACCTCCAGGTCCCGGTAAGGAAGTCTCCCCCGAAAGGAACAAGTCGACCGCGCGCGCCGCCTGTCTTCCTTCCGATATTGCCCACACAACCAGTGATTGGCCTCGACGGCAATCTGTTTTACAAACATTTACATGATACACTCTCAAAATTGTTTATACCGAGATTTTTGCTTAGACAAAGCGTGCAAAGACGCAGTAGATCTGCGGCATGTAAACTTCACACACTTCTTAAATCAGTTCTGTATGAACACATAGCAAATAGAGTTCTAAACAATCCTAAGATTTTTATATCGAATTAATATATTCTGAGATCTTTCTCGATATACTTTTTTTTAAATAAATAAAGCAATCGTACCTCCCGCTGCGAAGACGTTGCTGACGGGCGTTTTGTAAATATCACTCTTTGCTGTCTCGATGTTGCTACGAGCATCGAGTGGTAGATCTGTGAACAAATTTAAATAACCCTTTATTTGGTTCCTCTACGATTCTAATGAAGATCCTTATATTTTTGAAAATAAGATTCAGCCTCTATTAGCTGAATATAGCTTCCTTCAGGTAAAAGAATTTAAATAAATAGGTTAAGTATTTACGGAATGTATCCACAAACAATAAACAAAAAAAATTGAAATGCTTAAACGAATAAGTATATTGTGTTAAAATCTAATATTAAAGAGGATTATTTTACTACAGTTGAGAAGAACTAAGAACAAGCAAGAAAAATATATAGTACATTTTTATTGAGAGAGTAATATGATGAATATTAATCAAATAACAAAGGTATCCGATCTTCCATATCCTTGTAGATTTGTCTAACATTGTGTATAAGTTTGTAACAGCATTACCTATCAACTTTTTTTCATTCAGAGTAATAGGAATAACATAAAAAAATAACAAAAAATATGTATTCTGACTTTACTTATATACAAATGAAGGAAGATTTATAGATTTGTCTATCATTATGTATAACTTTCAAACATGTTAACTCACCAAGTTGGTTGGCTACGTATCTCTCAGGGCCCAGGAAGCCCATAGCGAGGAGGACCAGCTCGGCCTTGAATATCTTATCTGTTCCGGGCAGTTCCTTCATCTCCCATCGGCCGCCTGCGCCTCGCGTCCATTCCACTTCCACGGCAGCTACTCCGCATACGTTACCTTCGCCTAAGGATTATACCATTTAATTGTATTATTATTATTATAAACCTTCTTTTTTATATTACTATGGTGGTAAATAAGCATACGGCCTATTGGATGGTAAATGGTCACCCTAGCCTATGCCGAGACACCAGGGGTGCCGATTCATAAACCTATATACGTACTAGCTGTCCCGGAAAACGTTGTTTTGCCATTTAAATTAAAATCGCTATTAAAAAAATGGATTGATGGTAGAAGGGTGAAAAATTAGGGCATTTATTAATTCCATATTTAAAAAAAATTTTAGTGGTGGACAATCCTTATCATTTAGGGGTATGAAAAAATAGTAGCCTTTATTCATATAAAATTTCATAAAAATTGGTCAAGCCGTTCGAGTAGTAAACCACTAAGTTAGACTTAGTGGTTTACTACGCAACTTATAGTGGGGAGAAGGGGACAGACAGTAATGTGGACTAACCCCAGTGCTAGAAATGTACCATATCAGATTGATCTACCTGTAGTTCCCACCAGACACCATCATTCATTATTTATGTTAACTTTGCTATTAGGCAGTTTGTATAAAAATTAAAATTTTCAAAATCTAAAGATGATACTGATTTTTAAAGTTCATTTGAATGAAGATAATTATTGTTTTTTAGTTCTGTCTACATACCGTCATCCAGGAACTCTTTGGTGAGAGTGGAGAATTTTCTTGGATCATTGCCAAATTTCACCTTCACTTCGTCGTGTCCGTAGTCGACTCTGGACCATAATAATATACATTTTTAGAATACAAATAATACACAGAGTACGCCGAATGGAATACGGTCGCCAGAGTCTCTGAAATTTGTGACACCAGAGAAGAATATAGTAAAAATAAATATGTATAAAATATAAATATAATAAAAAATATTTTTATTTCATTTTTTGTATATATATATACTCGTATATAGCAAAAAAATAAATAAAAAGGTTCGAGTAGGCTTTAGCGGTTTTAAGGTTATGTGTTCGAAACTGTGTGTTAATTTATATTTCTAACTGACTCTCCAGTCGTGTGAGGAATCGAACCCGCGACCATCCTAAGTAAAACGGTATGCTAAACCGCTAGACACCCGAGTCTTAAATATATTAAAAAATTAAACTGTTGAAATATATACCTGAATACTCTCGGCCACTGGGGCCAAGGGTTGTCTTGTCCTCTGGTCGTCTTTGGCTCTGGTAGGATCTCGAATGTTGTGATGGATTTTGCTCCTTGTCGGAGAGATGTCGCTATGCAGTCGCACCTGTCGAACGTCCAGATTGAGTAAACATACAGCTACCCTGATGCTAACTATATTTGACATATAATAGTCTACGATAGACGTATATTTGTAAAAATATTTCATTTAATTTGATTCGAAATACCGTTTACTAGTATTAATGCTTTTGACGGCGGTTTTTAGTCGAAGTTAATTTTGTTTTTTTAATATTGCTGTATGTTATTAGTTTATCATTAGTGTTTAAATTGGGCTTTCTCCTTTATATGCATTACACATTTTTTTATGTACAGTACGCGATATTTTTGTAAATTCTAATCGGCGTTGATCCTATGCTATATCTTTGATAGAAAGACGGACAACCTTAATCGTAATAAATATGATTTCCTAAGTTATATATATTTAAAAATCTGTTTTTCTACTTAATTACAATTATATATAAACAAATATGTATAGCTTCAGTTCTAGAAAATGGCCTAGTATGACATAAACAAAAGCACTAAATATCTTATTGTGCGGGGGATCCAACCCACTACTACCAGAGGCAGGTAATGCACCATTGCACTCCCAAGTTCGATGTGTTTAAAATTTACAATTTTTTAAAATACACTGATTGGAATATCACTGCTTACCCGGTATCACCTCCGCCGATGACCAGAACATTCTTATCTTTGGCATTGAGTTCAGGGTTGTCTTTCATGGGATGAGTTGACCCCATCTGCTTCTTCTGCCAGCTCTCCAGGAATTCCATGGCGTAGTGGATTCCATTCAGTTGCCGTCCCTTGAGGGGAAGGTCTCGGGGCCACGTTGCACCCATGCAGAGGACTAGGGCGTCATATCTGAAAAAGTTCCCGAATTATTTACTATTCCTTAACCAAAAAGATGTAATATTCCTATGTTTTTTATATTTAAATTGAATACATTGTTCTGGAGATAGGCGCAAATAATTGCAATTCAGTTTTTTATAAATTCATGTAGTTTTTTAACATGTTATATATAATATTATACTGGTTTAAATAAATTCTTTAATGAAAAAGAATATATCAGTAATTCTACTACTATGTCTTAGTTAACTTTTACTCGGTTTTAATTATAATTGCAAGAAATGTCTTATGCGTTAACCGCCTTTTGTACTTCATTACTTCTACTTATGTTCTTTATAATTTACTTATAGTGCAATAAAGAGTAAATAAGGAGTACTTATAATTTGATTATCAGATCATTAACAATTTATTCATATATAGTACTTATTTGTACATTTATAAATATTAATGTATGCATTATTTTTATAGAAATTTATATCTTTATATATAAGAATTATGTGTTACGTTGTTTGTCCGCGATGGAATCCTAAACTACTGAACCGATTGCAAATTATTAATGCACCACCAATAATCTTTCTCTCCACCACTCATGGTTGACTGGTAGATAACGCCGCAAGGTGTTAAGTCCGCAATATATACACTGTGTGTACATTAAATAATTTAAAATTTAATCGATTTTCTTTTTTGATAATATACTTTGAAAATGTTAATTTCGACTTAACAAAATGCTTTTAGCAATGAGACCATCTTATTGTAGTACATGTCTAACTTTAGATATTATTTGTGTTTTTTTTAATATTATAATACATATAAAGTATAGGCTATCTATTTATAAAAAAAATATAAGTGGTAGAAACGTGAGAACCGCAACGTACGTCAACTGTATTGTAACGCGCTTGAGCACGCATGACGACTAATAACCCGTGGATCATGAACTCTACGCTCAAAACACATTTCCTCTGCGTCGTAATTTCAACGTTGAACGTCAAGACCAAATATGTTGAACCGTGCAAGGCCATGAAACAACGCTGCAATTGGAACGACATTTGCATATGTCATCGGACTCTTGTGTTACATACACAAGAGTTTGTTACATTATCATGATTTGGGTTAGATTAGTGAACATCATCTGAATATGCATTGCGGACATACCGACTAATGAGCCAAAACTCTCCTGGACTCCTGAAAGTATGTATTCAAGTTGAAAAGGTCAGGTCTGGCATCAATATAACAAGTAAGATCATATTATAGACAGTTAAAGAAAGCAATCAAATCTGATAAAAGCAGCCGGATCGCAGATAGAAAAAAAGAAAAAAAAAACTAATTTGCATGAACGACGGGCAGTTCAATGTATGTTTTGATCAATAACAAAAACGCAGGTGACTTTTACGTCGTTAACAGAGCTGACGTACGATACGTTCACAGATCCGCGTGTTAACATATGAATAAAATAAAGTTAAGTCGTCAAAAAAAGAAATACTTGATTTTTATGTAACTAGAAAGGCAACAAAAATGACGACCCATGTAATAATAGCAATTAACGAACAAACGGACTGGGTCATCCACATCCCCCTAAGAGGTTAGGGGCCTTGGGGCGAGCCCCTTTCCTCTGTCATTAATTCCAGGGCAACAGCTCTCGGGGGACTGCATTTAAGTTCTATAAGCATGAAATTATATAGATTAGACTTATCTAAGTTGCAAGGAACAATATGTACAGTTTAACACCTAACTTAGGAACTAGTGATACATTTGGGGATTTCATTTACTCATATGGATATCACTCCTGACATTACGTCGTCTTATCACCTCTTTGATAACCCTAATAACACTTTGGACGACTAATCGTAGTTGCAGTCAGGTCGGCGAAGATCAGCCAATACTAGGCTTCCAACCCCATATCCGAGCTCTATTAATTGCCGGATGATGCCTCGTTCAGAGGTGAAACACGTGTAGAAATTTTGTGTGGACTCGATACCAGTCGAAATTTGATCACCAATAGAGAGTCGTCGAGCTTCCAGTAGCGGTGGTCAGGTTTCCGCACTGAATATTTGTGGTTTTAAGCATGCTAATGGAAGCGGAATTAAACAAATTAATGAAAGTGAAAAAAGCATTTCTATACATTAATTGTCTTACCTATTTATAAAATGGTATTTATCGTACATTTTATGTTCTTTTGTTATCTGTACGTACGCTGTGTCGTATCTGGTGGCGCCATAGAAAATCAGCCACAGAAATTCAGCGCTGTGGTATAACTTAGTTATACATAGTGAGAGTCTCATGCTGAATGAGACTCTCACTCAGCTCAGTTACCAGCAAGTTTTAGCTTTTAATTTGTATAGTATATATTATTGTGGACAAGAATACTGATGTAATAATAAATATCTTTATTATTACAAATGCATTCAGTAATGACGAATGAATCATGCTTATGTAATTTCACTGTCATATTTCAGATCATTCAAACCAAAACACAGAAGAAACAAGGCAGTAGAAATATGACGCACATAAGCAAAACGACTTTGTACAAAGTCTACCTAGGTAAGAACTCGGTAAATCATGTACTGATATTTAAAACCAACAATTGTTGGGAAAAGCAGAACTAAACGAAGTAATACTTTCGGAGGTCAGGCGTAAGGTGTTATGTATTACAAGTAATAATTACGTTGATGACTTTGGACTTTCTACAGTGTCTTTCCTATATTAGAATGGACGTAGTATACATACGTCAGTTTTAACTTCCTTTGTCATTAATCATCAAAACAAACTATGGACGTCATACAAAATGTGTAACATTAAATAAATAATAATTATGGTTTATAAACACTAAGTCAGAACAGATTGGTGGGTTATTGACGCAATGTATACGTACAGTTGACGTATAAGGTTGTCGAACTCTACTAGATATGTGTAAGAAAACATTAAACAGTGCGATATTGAACCCATTTCGCCTAATGACAGATAAATACCAATCCTAAAAATGGTTGTATAAGGTTCTATTTGTCAGTGGTGTTTCAGGCGTCTATAAGCTACTACCATTTACAGAAACCGCAAGAATCTTAATTTATTTCCAAAAATGCTGTTCATAAAATCAATGGGTCTTTTATGGGAATATACTCCAATTAACTTTAACTAAATTTAAAACATCTGTTTAATAATATTCATTAATTAAGCTAAGCCTACTCACTAAACGATTACTTAAATAACTAACGTGCATGGCAATAGTAGTTCGTGCATGGGATTTTCATTTAATCTTATATATAGATACCTATATAAGTATATACTGTAAATAAACTGGCTTGAAAAATAAGAAATTGAAATTGGGTTTCTTGGCAGTTCTTCTGAAACTGTATATTGAACTGTTTTTTTTTTTATTTAACCATCAGATACTCTCTATGCTTATTTACCACCATCGTAGTATAAAAAAACTTACTCATTAGCCAGATCGCTAGCGGATATGTCCTTGCCGACGTCGACGTTGCACTTGAAGGCGATGCCTTCAGCGGTCAAGAGTTTGACGCGGCGCGAGACTACCTCCTTGCTGAGCTTCATGGTGGGGATGCCGTACTGCAGTAGTCCACCTGGACGGTCATTGCGCTCGAATACCGTCACCGTGTACCCGGCCTATGTACCATATAAATGTAATAATAGGATAACTATAAACGATGATATTTGTAATTTAAACTCATAAATTATAATAAATACACTATAACATTAGAGTAATAAGTTAACAATGACATTTTTCGCTTGTGTTGCCAGTCGAATAAAAAAAGATTTGGAAATATTAAATGAGGCATGCTATATGATGCTATATGATGGTAGTAATCATCACCTACCTATATAATCTGTACTACGCACAACAAATGAATGAATGACTGCTTATCTGCACCTAGGGAAGGTTGGTGAAAGTTGGGGCCTGGAGACAAACTCCTTTGACCCGTCATTAACTCAGGGACTAACAATTGCTAGATTTAAGGCGACTTAGGGCGGGATACTTAAAAAAAAAAGAAAAATCTACCAGTAATAAAATAAAAATAACTGAATCTAACTTAAAAAGTATTTGGGAACAAAGACATAGATAAAGAATGATAGATTTTCACACTAACACCTATGGTGAATTTCATTCATACCCATTTTAGAGGATTACATTGTCTTCCTTACCATGTAACTTTTGTACGTTATAACAATGTAGTCCTTAACTAACCTTACCTATGTGAGTGACTTACCTTATTGAGTTGGTGCGCGCACGCCAGGCCAGCAGGGCCCGAGCCGACTACAGCCACTGTCTTTCCATTACGGTGTTCCGGAATCTGTGGCCACAATATACATTTTTTTCTTTTAATGGATCGATATGTAATTAATAATAATAATAGACTAGACTATTCACACAGAGCCACTAGTCCCAAGCTAAGCAGAGCTTGTGTAATGGACTAGATAATTAATACATATACATAAATACATTATTTTTGTAAAGCAAAAGCGAAAGTAATATGGGAAACTCAATAAAAATAAAACGTGGTAAGATCCCGTGATTCCTACTAATTATTATCAATTTTAGAGATCAGATTTGAAAGAAAAAAAAGAAGTTTTTCTTTCTTTTTGCTGCACTTTTTGTAACGATACTCCTCCGAAACGGCTTAACCGATCGAAAGCAAAAGGTCATAGAAGACGATGTGAGAGCCTCTATCATTTACCACTCAAAAAAAATTCCGATCGGCCAAGGTCGAGTTTTAAGAATAAACGCGCTCCGCTGAACATGTGACTTGGTGTGTAAACAACAAAGTCGTAACAAACCTAGTACATATACATAATGACCGCGTCAAATTTAAAAGAGTATAAAAGCGAAAGCACTCCGTACTGACGATAGATTTGACATATCTAAGAGTAATAGACCTGTAATAGACCTACATGAATAAGAATATTTTGTTTTGAATATGATGTACCTCGGGGGTGACCCATCCGTTGTCGAAGGCGTGGTCGATGATGGCGCACTCGATGTTCTTGATGGTGACGGCGGGCTCGGAGATGGCCAGCACGCACGCGCCCTCGCACGGGGCCGGGCACACGCGACCGGTGAACTCTGACGCATGTATCAAATACATTTATATTTAAGTAAAAATCTCCCTAATCTTATCTTACTACGACGGTATCTACGGTCTAATGGTTTAAAATATCGCTTTACTTTTGATGGTCGGGAGTCGATTCCTTGCACGGTATAAACATTTGTATTCATGAGATTGTATCGGGTTGGGTGTTTTCTAACTATTACACTAACCTTTTTAATTTCAATTCACACTATATAAAAAGTAACAATGCATTTGGAGGACTTAACATTATGCGGTATTTTCTACCAGTCAACCATTTCTACCAGATAACCAGTAACCATACTAGTGGGGGAGAAAGGGGATTGTTAGGGGATGTGGACTGACAATCTTATTGCTACCAAGGTACTAGCTACTATGTCAGGGTGACGCCCACGCCACTCCTGGAAACCATCGTGATAAATTCTTGGTGAATTTGTCACGATCGGCTAACTGACCTGACCTCACAATGAGAATAATCGTTTTAATAATCGGCGATGCAAATATAATCATAAACGAAATCTAGGCATAATGTTTTTGTCTTTAAAAAAGGGAGAATAATCTAACCGGGGAAGTTGTTGGTCTGCAGCAGCTGGCGGAGCGCCTGCCGCCAGTCGCCGCGGTACACGAGGTCGTTCCACTTGGGGATGATGTTCCCGAGCGGGCAGCCGTGGCCGCTCTGACAGAACGGCACCCCGCACTCCATGCAGCGCGCCGCCTGCGTGCGCAGCCCGCGCCGCACGTGCGCCGCGTTGTAGATCTCGTCCCAGTCGCGCAGCCGCCGCTCCGCCGGACGGTACAGGGACGTCTCGCGCGGGTACTTCATGAAACCCCTGCCGTATACATACTTTAATCAGCCCAGAAGTAGTGGCTGACGGGCGGATTATTCGGTCCATTGACCACTACTAATAGACGGGCGAAAAGTAACGCTAGATATGAATATTATTGAGTGAAATCTATAATACTCATTGTTAAAATATTGATATCCATTCTATCAAGAGTAAGGTGTTTAAGTACTTATGAATTAGTATTCAATAAACGTCAATTCTAGACTTTTACCCGCAGGCCATATGAGCCCGCATTATGTGGATAAAAGCGTAGTTAATTCGTACAATTTATATTAGAGATATGAGATCTCATACATTTAAATGCAAGCTGAAAAATTGGATATCGTTTAATAATTTTTCCAGTGTTCAAGAATATTTGATTAAAACGAATATTGTCATATAACTTACATACTTATGATGGCAAATATTGCTGATGAATAATATTTTGATGTATCCTATCTACTGTAGTCATTTTAATATCAAGTTCATTTTAACATCAAGTTTATATGATAGTCCCTATCTACCTAACGATTGAAAGCCTTAGTATTGATAGTTGTAGAAAAAAGGAGCTAACTACGTAGGCTAAATACTAAGGCGTCTATTGTTGGAATTGTGCTCGCAGGCCGATATGCTTTTAAAGCGTAATTAATTCCTAATTAAAATAACTTAATGGGCTGAGCGCCTTTGGATATAAGCCTAAGCGTGGGCTTCCTGACTAATTTTACTCTATGGGTTGAGTGAGTTGATTAGATTAGATTGATTAGAACTTTTTATGCTGCACTAGTGCCTCGCCAGCGCGTACAATTTTGTTATGAGGAAAGTAACTTTCGGATTGCTGCATCTTTTTGAGAAATTGTTTAATTGTTTTATAAGTATGTTATTTCATGGTGATTTATATAATATTAAGCATCTAGATATGGTTTATGTATTACTTTTACATAATGGACTGAACTGGATGGTAAAGAAAAGTATTAATATAAAATCATGACACAATTCATAATTGATCATATGATTTTTTAATATGAATTGAATTTAAATAAATTAACGACAACTGTATTGTCTATACCTCACCTAGTCTTATCCAGAATTTTCTCCAAATTCTTCTTGTCCAGCTCTACATCTCTGATGGTTTCTTCTATGTCTAGGACCCCGTTCTCAGCTTTCCCGTTGGCTTCCACTTTCGGTGTAGGAGCGGGCGATTTGATGGCCAATTGTTTCAATGCACGTTGGTACTCGTAAGGGAATACTTTGATGAACATTTTGGCTGGTTCAGGCCAAGTAGTTAAAAGCTCTTGAGCTATTACTGACCTATCAAAAGTTGTAAAACAATTGAAGCCAACTTACACATTTTTTTATTTATATTTGGAAAACCAAGACTATGTACAAGCACAATAATAAACATATGATTTGTTTAATGTATTAAGATAGAATGTAAGAACATAGTGGAGTGTTTTATAAAAATCAGTAATCATACCTATTAAAACAGAGAAACCACTTACAGGTTTTCACACATTGTAAGTAAACTAAGGGAGACTTTAAAGTCGTCTGTGTGGGTACCTCAGTTTATTTATTTCATTACCATTGTAATTTTCCGAAAAATGAAATAAGACCCAAGTCCTTTATTTGTATTACAGACAGCTATAAACATAAAGAATTAAGATACAACTATATTAAGATGCAGCACTGTAATATTACCTTGGCAGGTAAATTTATATTAATAAACCTAACAATTACTTATAAAAACTATATGTTAACATACCCGGTGTATTCGACGAATTCTTCCAACAATTTCTTTACATATTCGAGGTCCTCTTCTAGTTCAAGGGGCAGTAATTCTACCGTCTCTTGGTTGCACTTGCTTTTGAATGAACCATCAATATCGTATACATAGGCGATACCACCTGGTGGAAGAAAAGTGTAAGTTAGTCATCTATCAATAATAGACAAAGCTGATCATAAATGTTGACATTATTGTTTTATTCAGTTATTTATAGAGTCGTAATATTACTCTATAATTAATTTCATAAATAAATTGTTGAATTAAAATATATTATTTTGATTCAACAATTTGTTTATGAAATAAATACCACGCTTACTACGTCATTAAAACAACAATGAGTCAAAAGTTAAAACTACATATGTATAACTAAAGTGAAGTTAAACGAACTACATTATAAATACAAAAGTAAGTTTGTTCACGTTTTCAGGGCTTCACTACTCAATAAATAGTCTTGAAAGATGGTAATACTGTCCAGAGGCCGAGCACGAGCGTGACGCCGGCCGTCATGTACTCGCAGCCGTGGTGAGTACGTACCGGACATGCCGGCGGCGAAGTTCCGGCCGGTGAGGCCGAGCACGAGCGTGACGCCGGCCGTCATGTACTCGCAGCCGTGGTGAGTACGTACCGGACATGCCGGCGGCGAAGTGTTCCGGCCGGTGAGGCCGAGCACGAGCGTGACGCCGGCCGTCATGTACTCGCAGCCGTGGTGAGTACGTACCGGACATGCCGGCGGCGAAGTTCCGGCCGGTGAGGCCGAGCACGAGCGTGACGCCGGCCGTCATGTACTCGCAGCCGTGGTGAGTACGTACCGGACATGCCGGCGGCGAAGTTCCGGCCGGTGAGGCCGAGCACGAGCGTGACGCCGGCCGTCATGTACTCGCAGCCGTGGTGAGTACGTACCGGACATGCCGGCGGCGAAGTTCCGGCCGGTGAGGCCGAGCACGAGCGTGACGCCGGCCGTCATGTACTCGCAGCCGTGGTGAGTACGTACCGGACATGCCGGCGGCGAAGTTCCGGCCGGTGAGGCCGAGCACGAGCGTGACGCCGGCCGTCATGTACTCGCAGCCGTGGTGAGTACGTACCGGACATGCCGGCGGCGAAGTTCCGGCCGGTGAGGCCGAGCACGAGCGTGACGCCGGCCGTCATGTACTCGCAGCCGTGGTGAGTACGTACCGGACATGCCGGCGGCGAAGTTCCGGCCGGTGAGGCCGAGCACGAGCGTGACGCCGGCCGTCATGTACTCGCAGCCGTGGTCTCCCGCGCCCTCCGCCACGGCCACGCACCCGGAGTTGCGTACACAGAACCGCTCCGATGCTATGCCTCTGTATATTAAACCCAACTCGTTAGGGATAAATTTAGATATACGCTCATTTACAAATAAAAAAATATGATATGCAATAGCGAATACCAATAGTACCAATATAACATTCTATGAAGGTTACCGAAGTAGCCTTAGAAAAAGTCGTTTGCGTGTATTAATTACAGGGCATCTTAGTCCTCCGGAATTTAAATATATGAGTAATATAATGAGTTAAACATGATATAGTATTTGGATGATGACAACAAATGACAAGATTTGGATTAAAGTAAATATAAAATAAAGATTCCTATTACAATTATTTTGCCGGTATAAAACAATATATATTTAGAGTAAATTAATGTGATTGATTATATGTAATTTAATACATACCGGAAATAAGCTCGTCCGGATGTGGCACCGTAGAGACATACGTTACCAACGATGACATTCAAGTGGGATTCGAACGGCGAATTCTTTGGCGGGTAGATAACAATCGTTCCGCCGGATAAGCCTTTGCCTAAACAATAAAACATTAACATTTAGGATCTGTTTGGACATCGTCGGCTCGCGCAACTGGCTCCGTGTGTAATGGTCCCCATCATTTTCACGGCTTGAGGCGGTTGCGTATAGCATGAAACCGATAGCCACTTCATATCTCGCCATCGAGAAAAATTCGGGTTTATTATATTTTTATTCTTTATACTGCATATTTAAATTATACAAATTTACAGTCCGCAAGCATTTTACTTCAAGTCCTTAGCTTAGGACCCCTACAGTTTCTAGTCCTTCGAGCCGGGTCCTATCAATTAAACAGCGGTCTGTATATACTATCTATTAATTTTATCCTGTTTATTGTAATTATAATATATAATCGATAATTTATAGACATTCAAAGACGAAAGTATTCTTATTATTATGCATGCAGAAAATTTTTATACAAAAAGCCTATATTTATTAATTTTGTGTTAATGCGTTTTAAATTACACACACATTATTTCTGAGTAACCTATGTATAAACATGGGTAATTAATATTAATTATAAGATACCGATAATCAATTTAAAAATTGTAATAAGCTTCGAGATTAAAATAAGACTATAGAAACGAAAATGATGAGAGCGAGTACGTAACGACGTAGTCGTTAGTGAACTCTTGAGCGAGAGTGCGAGAAAGTATTATATACTAGCTGTTTCACCCGCGTTACATTTTAATAAAAAATATTGCCTATATGTTATTCTGATGCGTAAGCTATATTACTGTAAAGTTTCATTAAAATCCGTCGAGTAATTTTTGGGTGAAAGAGTAACAAACATCTTATACTTACAAACTTCCGCGTTTATAATACTATTAAGATAATATGGCTGTTTAGATTTTGTACACGCAGGTTTGTTTACGAAGGATTGTGATGTGATGTGGTGGGATACTGACCGACGTAGTCGTTGGCGTCTCCCTCGAGCGTGAGTGCTAGTCCGCGCGCGAGGAACGCTCCGAAGCTCTGTCCGGCCGAGCCCGTGAGTCGCACGCGCACGTGCGACGACTCCGGCAACCCTGCGTCGCCGTACTTCCTGTCATTTATACACAATCAATCTGAATGTCATATTTCCACTTGCCTAACCTTACACATAATGTAACACTTCTTCTGCGAAGTTACTAGTGTAACGTCATTGACGGCCCAGGTGATTTAGCGCTTTAGCATACCTATTACTTGCAAAGGTTGAGGATTGGATTCCTCGTCCGGTATAAACGTTTATATGCATGAATATGATTGTTTTTATCGGTCCAGTGTATATTATATAAGTATTTACAAAACAATGTATCTATATATTTGTATCAATTATTCAGTAGCCATAACACAAGTTCTGCTTAGATTGTAACTAGATAGATTATTATTATATTAGCTTGTTTTGAAAGTAGATTCACAAATTTTATCACGCAATTTTATCGATTTTTAAAAATATCGGTACATACATAGCGATGTGGTATGAGAGTGTAGTAGTGAACGCTCGATCTTCATTCGTGATGCGCATACTGATGTCTACCTCGTTCTGCGTTCCATCCAGGATACCAGAACACTGTTCTATCAGTTGATTATCTAACCGCTTCTCCAGCTGAAAGTCCTGACAACCAGAAAACAGTATATTAATCATAGAGAAAAATATAATAATTATTGTTAAATTTTAAACACCAGTTAAATTTGAAGTATTATGTATGGAATTAGCAAATTCCCAGAAGTCTACATATTTATTTAACAAAGAGAATTACATCGAGAATTTCTTACTTTTCTTGCTTGCAAAATATACACCCATGGTATTTCAGGCATCCATAGACTACGGTAGCCATTAACTATCAGATGGTTACCATCGTATTGTTATCATCGTACTATATAAAAAATGTGTATTAGTTTATTTAATTGGTATTATTTTTCTACACTTACTTGTGATTTCGATCCTCCGACAATGTTCACGCCAGGACGCATGTGCAACGCATTCTTCAATATAAGGCTGAGGTTCAACATTCTTGCTTTAGGATTGTCGTTGTTCTCCCGCACTTTGAGAAGATCAGTTCGACCGATCAGATCTTGGAAACGGCGCACGCCTACTTCTGCCATATGTTGACGTATCTGAAGTAATTCAATCATTATATCAATATGTGATATAATGTGATGTAAGTATGAGGACGTAAGGACGTAGTATGTAATTTCGCTCACATTATAATAAAAAAAAAAATAAACACACTATCATGTATTTCACACACATACACACACACACACACGCATATATACTCTTTTGTTTATTATCAAAGTCTGTAGTCAAACTGAGAATAAATTAATATTTGTTATATGCTATACTCTTACCGAATATTAAATTAATCAACCACTGGGCGAACACTAGTACTAATTAAATCAGAGGCATTCAATATAGATGATAAAACGAAAGCTTTCTGAGGATGTTATGTGTAGAACTCAGTCTGAACTATTTCTTCAACTATTAGGCGATTAAATTGCAGGATAAGAGGGCTGTCAGGTCCTCTGGAATGGAAACGCATAAGTATTATTAAGGGTGTGATATGATAACGTATTTGCCGTAGTGATTCATTCAAACGCTTATGATTGGGGGCGCCGCCTTTCCGCGCTAAATCGCGCGAATTGTTGTTCGGAAAAGAACGTGTCGTGTTAAGACAGCTATTGTTACCTCTTCAGCCAGCATGAAGAAGTAATTGACGACATGTTCTGGTTTGCCGGCGAACTTCTTGCGCAGCACGGGGTCCTGGGTGGCGATGCCCACCGGACAAGTGTTCAGGTGACATTTGCGCATCATTGTACAACCTGAGCCAAACATACGATATATGTATTAAACGATCTGTGTATCAAATTAAGAAATTTGAAACTTATTTTTTAGGCTATTAATTAAATAGAATCAAATATGACATTTTAATATTTCACAAAGAAACATTAAAAATAAAGGGGGTAAAATAAAATAGGAGATGAAAGCTTATAGGGAAATTCGACATTTTTAAGTTAGAACAATGTAACTTTTTCTTACTTATACTACTGTTAGCAATCATAGTTATCAAATAATATTTTAGCATTAGTTGTAATTTAACAGTGAGAATATACTACATATACTATATTATAAAAACTACATTACTAATTATTTTTAAACTAAACAAAACCAACAATTTAGCTCTACGATATGAGTAATTACGAAGGTTTTAATTAACAAACAAGACAAAATAGATAATAATAATAATACTTGTAAATATATCGAAAAAATATATTTATGTCGAAGTGTCGATATATTGGATTCCAATTTACATTTTAGATGTTACATTACTTTTAAATTTACATAGGAGTATTACCGAGTGCAATAAGCGGTGCTGTACTGAAGCCGAACTCATCGGCTCCGAGGAGCGCGGCCACCATCACGTCGAAACCGGTCCTGATCTGACCGTCCGCTTGTACTACCACCCTAAACACATTAATGTGATCATTATCGCTATAATTTACTAGTAGTAATAATAATAATAACCTTGGACCATTCACACAACGCCATGCAGTCCCAAGTTAAGCAGAGATGCAAGCATGGCAATAGTTGTTCATGCACGGGATTTTCATTTAATGTTAGACATAAACACCTACATAAGTTATAAGTACATAGTGAATAAACTGGCTTTAAAAAAAATCAGTTGAGCATCTTTCCAGTTTTTCTCAATTGAATCAGTATATTGAACTGGATTGTAAGAAAAACATATTTATATAAAAACTTAACGTTCATAAGCGGCTAAAATGAATAAATGATATTTTATTTGATCATATTAAATACATTTTATTCATAGGAAACATCCAGACCAATACAATTATGCACATGAATACAAAGTCTGCATTGCGTGAACCCGCGACCATCGGAAATATTCCGTAAGGAATTTACAATTATAAGTAGATAAACAGTTATATACTAGGCAACTGTGTTTTAAAATGCGAAGTGATAGATTATTTAATTTATATTAAGTAAGTACCTGGAGCGAAGGTCGTTAAGCACCAGAACCTGGTGTGTCTCAGCGACTCCAAGCTCCCATGGCAGACCAGCGCACTTGATGCCGGTCCAAGAGCTCGCGCCGGTACCTCCGTCATGTCCTGAGATCACAATATGTTCGGCCTTACCCTGCAAGTAGATTATACAACCTGTAGATTATACAAAGCATCATCGCTCATACCAAGAAGTTTTTACTAGATACTATGGACCTCTTTCGTGTTCATGCGGTTGGAGGGAAGGTTATAGTTAGTAATTAAGTCTGGTGATCCCATGGTTTACAACAGACCATGTCAGATCGTTTTTCACTCGGTACCTGGAAACCATCGTGATTAATTGCTGTTGAATCTGTCACGATGGGCGAACTGACTTTCCTTAATGCTCATATTATGATCCTTCATTGGTACCCGCGTATACCGTCAATTGATGTTATTATACCATCGGAAGTAAGATGATTTACTAAACCGCTAGACCATCAAGTCCGTTAAAATATTAATGAAATTAAATCAATGTTTGTAATTCTTTATTGTACAGACTATTTATAGAAGGATACATACGACTTAGAAAATAAATGGATACAATGGCGGACATATTCCAAAAAAAGGGATTTCCACCAGTCAACCTTTGAGTGACTGAGAGAAATTGTTGAGTGGTTGATATAGGTACAATAAATAATACGCGTCGCAAAGCAATATATAAATTAATATAGCATAGGTAATAACAATATATCTACCTATAAATTTCAAAGAAAAAAGTGGTATTTATTAGGTTGATGTTAAGAAACACGACATATAATTACAATCAACTTAATGTAAAAATAAATATAAACAATAAAGTATTACAAGGTAAAAGGTAGTAACTTGACTGTACGCTAAGCAACTAATATTAAGTACCTTGGCAACTCCAGAGGCGACGACCCCAACGCCCACTTCTGAGACGAGTTTGACGGAGATGCGAGCGCGAGGGTTAGCGCACTTGAGGTCGTAGATCAGCTCGGCGAGGTCCTCGATCGAGTAGATGTCGTGGTGCGGAGGTGGAGATATCAGACCCACGCCCGCCACTGAACATCGGGTCTTCGCTATGTCTTCTGTCACTTTGTAACCTGTCATAGCATACGTACGTATATCGTGAATATATATATCTAAACCCTGGACAATTAACACAGCGCACACTAGACCTACGATAAGCAGAGCTAATGTTATAGATACTAGACATTGATATAAATACTTTTTTTGTAAACAAATACATAATATATATGTATAGAAAACACGCAAACAATCATATTTATGAATACAAATGTTTGTAACTGAGCGAGTAATTGAACTCGCGAACATTGGAAGTAAAGTAATGAAATATGAAGAGAATAACCTGGTAACTCTCCCCCCTCTCCAGGTTTAGCGCCCTGTGCCATCTTGATCTGCAAATCGTCTGCGTGCGCTAAGTACGACGCCGTCACTCCAAACCGACCCGACGCCACTTGCTTGATGGCCGAACGTTTATTGTAGTCTGGATCCTAAATAAAAAAGCAAATAATTCAAAGTTAGATAACTACAACAAAAAAAAAACAATACCCCAGGACAATTCACACAGTGCAATCTAGTTTTAAGCTAAGCAGACCGTTTGTTATGCGTACTAGACTACTGATATAAATACATTTTTTTTTTGTAAATACATGCATACGTTACATATATAATATTTACTAGGTTAGATTTCTCGCACGGTACAAACTTTTGTATTCATGAGTATGATTGTTTGTATCGCTATAGGTGTTGTCTATGTATATTATGTATGTATTTAAACAAATCAAGGTATGTATATCAGTTCTCTAGTATTTAAAGGATGGCACTGTGTTGATTGTCAAAAAAAAATTACTGTCTCCTCGGGGTGCTTTCGAGCCGAGAATTGACAAGAAAGTCAGCTCTTATTCTTTTCGAATGAGCTTGTACATTTTTCTTCCGGGCTTAGAATTTTGAAACCCGCCCCAAGAAGCTGTCGAAACAGTTACCCGGGGATGTTGCGCCAGAAATCAATGACAGGGGCAAAGGGGCTCGCCCCGAGAGGCTTGCGCGGGGTAAATTTCCAGAACATCGTAAATTACGCAGGTTTAGTGACTGTCCTAGTATTCAAACGATTAGGAACTGGGTTCACGAGTTCGAGGAGAGTAGTTCTACGTTGCATAAACAACGATCAGGCCGACCAAGGACATGACGGACGGAAGAAAACATCGACGTAGTGTGAAAGTGGATTATTTAGTGTCAGAGCATTTTTTACGTACCTGGTTGAGGTATCGGTCTGCGTTCTCGCCGCCCTCGCCGGTGTTGGACTTGCCGTTGATGCGGTTCATGGCGATGGCCAGCGACGTGTGTGCCTCCAGAGAGATCGACCCGAATGACATCGCACCTACCATCCACAAACAGAACATTTATTGATATAATGTCTACCATTAAAAGCCTAAAAGATATAAATAAAATTAAAAAAAAAATCTACAAGTAGCTGTTACCAGCGACAAATTTTTATTAAAATATATAAAAAAAATTAAAATAAAGGTAACCTAAATCACTCATTATTATCTTAGCTATCTGCGATTGAAAGTTCACATCGGGCTGCAATTAGCAAGAGAATTTTTAAAAACATTTTCTTGAGTTAGTACTACTTACTCAAAAAAGGTTATACTTTTAACATATATTTTTTAATACATTTTCTTATAAGTATTTGAGAATAATGAAGAAGCTGACGGTTCACGCCATGAAATGTTTACCGTTTCATATACATATAAACAGTACCATAGACATCATGTTATAACGTCTGTGGGAGCATGGATACATTACCATTTCAGAGAGTGGATTTTATAATTCCCTACGCTCTAATTTCAATCTTACTCTTGATCACCATCCAACTTACACATTTTATAAAAATGGCGGATAAAATAGGCAGACGACTACTGTTTACTTTTATAAACTGAGTGCGAAACACCTATATTAATAGCTGTTAAGGTTAAAATAGAAGATGGTAAACCTTGTATAATAAATACGAGTATAATATAGTAACACGATATATATATTAATACTAGCTGTGCACAGGGTTTTACCCGCGTTAAACTTCAATAAAAAAATATAGCCTATGTGTTATTTTGATGCATAAGCTATATTACTGTAAAGTTTGATCAAAATCCGTTGAGTAGTTTTTGAGTGAAAGAGTAACAAACATCCATACTTACAAACTTTCGTATTTATAATATTAATAATATTAACTCAAATCTACATTTTATCTATTTACTGTACCTGTGGCGAATCGCTTGACGATTTCAGCGGCTGGTTCCACTTCGCTGATTGGGATCGGTTCGTCCAACTTCACCAATTCAAGTTGACCGCGCAATGTGCACGCTCGAATGGACTCTAGAGCGCTTTCCCTACGGAACAGTATTGTATAATCAATATATATAACTTTTAAACTCAAGAAATTTAATACTACAAAACCCATTTATCGAGGCTATAGGACATCACGTTACGGTCAGTAGGAGCGGAACCGCACTGATTTTTTTTTGCAAAAACGGGGTTGTATCGCGGTTGAAGGTCAGCTAGTTAAACACCAGTGGTTGAAATTAGATCATAATTAATTTAAATTATTAGTACGAACATTATTACATTATTAATTTCTATGCATGTGAGTGTGTCAAATACTCGGTAGTGTTTGTAACGTTTTTTTCCTCCACATAAACTATAAGTATCTGCGAAATTTCATACACCTCCATCCATCCAATTTTGTAAAAAGCGGTAAAAAGTTTTTGCTTCACCTATTAATATAATCATAATAATAGTCACCTGAACTTGTCGTAGGCAGAGTTTGATTTGTTGACGGCGGCCTCCTGCAGGTTGGCTATTGACATGGGATCGTTGATATGTTTCTCTCCGCCGGCACGCCAGTGATATTGACCCGGGTTTCTATACCAGAAAACAAAATATGGGATAATGTTTTTAAGATTCGTTACATGCTTATTTTATTTTTAACATTAATTTAAGTATTTGTATATATATATCTGTGCTTACCTCAAAACGAGAGAATCGTTATTGTCTCCATACGTCAATGAATGCCTGTCGAATATTTCCTTTGACAAGATTTCGAAGTTAACGCCACCTAGTTATAGAAAGCAAAGAAGTCGTTTATTAATAAAAAAAAATCCATTAATTACTAATATACAGTTGCAGCGTAATTATATAAAAAACCCATAATAAAATTAAAACAAAAATGACGTTCGTAAGTTATGCTGCCCAGATAACAGTAGTAGTTGCAATAAACAGAGACGTGCAAAGGTGACTTTTTGTTCATAAATATCATCATATATATACGTTTAATGATATTTATGATCAAGTACAGTAAAAAAGTCCTAAAAACAGCTCATTTTTAAATATGAATAAAGCTAGTTCAATGAAATTTCAATCATCAAAATATAACTTACCGATTCTTGACTGCGTTCCTTTGAAGCATTTATCAATGACATCCTCATTCAAACCTACAGCTTCGAAGATCTGCGCGCTCTTGTACGACTGGAGTGTGCTGATGCCCATCTTGGCCATGACCTTTGCCAGTCCCGTCTCTATGGCCTTCTGGTATGCGAGGTATATATCCTCGTTAGTAAGTGTAGGGTCGATGAGGTTGTCATCCCGCAGTGCGAATGCCAGCTCGAACGCTAAGTACGGGCATATTGCGTCCGCACCGTAACCTGCACGTTGAAAATGACAGTACAAAATAATTAATATTAAGTTCGTGAAAACATTAGAATATCTAGAATGTTTATGACGCAGTCTATTGTAGGATCATTTTAATTCTATTTTATGGAGTCAAAACCAAGTGACAATGTTAATTGTGGCAACTGAGTCACCTGTGAGTTAGTATAAAGCGTTTTGTATAGTGTCATTGTAGTAATGCCAAAGTACTAAACGAGCATTATAATTACATTCCCGATTTTTTTTTCGACAAATTCCTGAAAGAGTGTATCCTAATATTAACATTAGTAAACAAATAAATCAAGGAAAATTTCGTTTGTCTGTTGTGCTGTAAATACTACATGTTACAAAGTAGAAAATATAGTTTATTCTTTATTTACTGTTTCAGTTTATCAATATTATGTTCTAGTGATTGGAGCTTTTATGGACTTACCAAGCAAAACGCACATGTGGTGTACTTCCCGTGCTTCAGCGGTCTCGACAATGATGCCCACCTTCATACGTTGCCGCGTCTCGATCAGATGGTGATGTACAGCACCTGAGGATATAAATACAAAATGTCAGTATATTTGGCTCTACTGTAATAGAATACATCGTGTCACCTATAACTTTGTAGCAAACAGGAAACAAAGAAATGTCAGCAATAATCACGTCTTTTGGAGTGCGAATTTAAATATATCTCTTGTGTTAGTTACAGTATATAGTGTATGGTAGTATCGTGAGCAGTGACAGTAAGCAATCGGTATCTAGTGTATACTGCATATACAGTGTTTAATTGGTTGCCGCCGGCCGCCGCGGTGTACAGTACACAGTATGTACAGTACACAGTGTGCAGTGTACAGTACACAGTGTGCAGTGTACAGTACACAGTGTGCAGTGTACAGTACACAGTGTGCAGTGTACAGTACACAGTGTGCAGTGTACAGTACACAGTGTGCAGTGTAGAGTACCGAGCGCGAGCAGCGAGCTGACGGGCACGCGGCGCGGGCCGGCGGCGCGGTCGGACAGCACGAGCAGCTGGCAGCCGCCGGCCGCCGCGGTGTACGCTTCGCTTGCGATGCGAGTCAGTGCAGGTTCCAGTCCACCCGGACCGTCAGAGTACTCGAACGTGCAGTCCAACACCTTCGTCTGAAAACATAACATATAATTCGTTTAAAATATACAACGACAATATTTATTTACAAATATTATAAGCGCGAAACTTTGCGAGTATGGATAGATTAATGTTTGTTACTCTGTCATGCAAATATTACGGAACGGATTTTAATTAAATTTTACAGCAATATAGCTTATACGTCATAAAAACACATAGGCTATAATTAAAACAGATATTACGTAAATTGGGCGAAATAGAATGATAAATGTCAAGTAAGTGTGATACAGACGAAGTTGCGCGGGTCGTCTAGTACAATGATAACTTTCGAACAGCTAACTTACTAAGTTGGTTGAGTATGTATCTTTCGGGGCCCAGAAGTCCCATGCCTAGTAGTACGAGCTAGACCTTGAATATCTTGTCTGTTCCGGACAGTTCCTTCATCTCCCATCGTCCATCGGCGCGTCGGATACAGAGATAAACAATTTATGAAAGAACTAGTTACCTTCCAGCCGCGGTGCGTGGTGGCGATGAGTGCGGCGAGGTCGGGCAGCGTGAGCACGGGCTGCTGCAGGAACAGACGGTGCACGAAGGCGGCGCTCGGCTCCAGGATGTTGGCCGTCGGACCGATCGGACATAACAGCGACATCACTATCTTCTCTCTGCGGTGACAATACCACAACTCAAGTACTCGTTTGTAGGGCGAAAATTAACGCCTCACCACTGTAGTGTTATGTACATAATGTATTGTTTATTATAGTATGTAGGTAATGAGTATACCGATGAAATAATTGTACTATTTATTGTACATTTCTAACTTTATTTGATATTGTGCTACATGGCTTGTTAGTAACGCGTATATTCGAAGTCGTAACGTGGACTGACTTTATACTGAACTTAAATCAATGTTATAGCGTAGTTCTAATGGAAGGGTCTTTAATGGAACGTTGACAGAGATTTTACAAGTGTAGGCACGCATTCAAACCTACACTAAAATAACTGGTATACATGTAACGTTATTGACCACACATTTCAAATAAAAAATGTAAAGTTTCAACAATTATTAAAAAGAGCCATACAGAAATATCTTGTTCGTTCTTTTTGTGATGAACTTTCCATATGAACAATTTTTAAAACAGTTTTAAATCAATTTATGATTAAAAAAACATAACTGTAACTAGTCAAATGTGCTTAAAAAGTTCATATGAATAAATTATTTCTATTTTATTACTGACAGCATTCTTATAAAGTCATATAAATAGGAAATACACTCATATAATTATATTATTAAATTACGATATCAAAACATTTCATTATTTTTTAATATAAATATAGATCAGAAATACCTGAAGGGATCAATAGGAGGGTTGGTGACTTGAGCGAACAATTGCTTGAAATATTCGTACGGTAGCGGCTGGAACTGGGAGAGGCACGCAAGAGGCGCGTCATTGCCCATACTGCCCAATGCTTCTTTCCTGTAATAATGTCATAAGTGTAAGTGTTTATCTATGAATTAAATCCAAATTCAGTGAGTCCATTAGACTCAGATAGAAAGCAACCAGATCAACACAAAATATCATAGTAATGATTTGAAGATAATTAGAAGACGAGGTAGCATGATCAGTTACAACATTGTAACACAGTATTTTCGTCTCGAGTAAGTTTGCCACCATTTGTCTTAGCCAGACACATTCTGACTTAAAAGGAAATCTCCGATTTGGTTTTGATGTCACATTGATATTACAGGATATTGAGGTATGATAAATTAATCCTTGGAAATGACAATGCATGTGAGGCACTACGATACATACTGACTGTCTATGGCTATAGACGATGAATAATAATTTCCAATAACCATTCAAAATATCCCTCAAGTAAATAAAATATGGACCTAGATAGAAAAACAGGATACCATTCCTGATGTACTGAAATTAAAAAACAAAATGGCAGTAGTAAGCTATTGAATTATAGGTGCAATTAGGTCCAAATTTCCCTGAAGTAAATAAAAGTCTATACTAAATTTTGTTGTGTGTTGATCAAATAATAGGCACGGATACTTTAATTAAAATTATCTCTCAGGTAAATAAGATTCGAGCCTAGATTGTATCATGTGCGTTGAAGAAATAAATGAGGTATACGAACTTGTTCTGTATCATTGGCAGTAACAGCATGTTAATAGACTCGATGGTGTATGCGAAGAGCGCTAGTCGCTTGTCAGACAACCCGGAGATAGCGGTTTGTTGGCTGCCGTTCTGAACAGCTGTGCCGTTCTCCGACACAGATTTGTGAATATCTTCCATCGTTATCTGCATAGGAAATTATATTTTAATCCTGGACTATTCCATACACTTAATAGATTTACATTATTTTGTTTAATTCCGTTAATATTTAAACAAAATAATATAAATATATTAAGCAATGAAATGAATTTCCGCAAAATAATACCCAATTCGATAAAATATATACTCCAAGACCTGAGGCCTCAGACAAGCGAATTTATTTATAACAATCCGATAGATACCGTACGCAAAGGAAAGACCAAGATGGAGGATATGGCTGTTCCATTCTATCTTATGCGTACTGTTAACAGCTATCGATTTCTGATTTATAGATTTGATTCATACAATAATAGGCTCTCAGATGATAAGGTATAAGAGACAGTGTCGAAATATTCATCAAGACCTGAGGCCTCAGACAAGTTAATTAATCTATAACAATCCGATAGATACCGTATGCAAAGGAAAGACGAAGATGTAGGATATGGCCGTCCCATTCTAACTTATACAGTACGCATAAGATAGAACGGGACGGCTATCGATTTCTCATTGATATATTTACTTCATACAATAATAGGCTCCCTGTTAAGCTATCAGAGACAGTGGCGAAAAATTCAACAACAACAACCAAACAATAAGCCCGACTTTCAATATTTAAAGGATATTATCCTTTAAATATTGAAATTAGTGTCTTACGGCTTCTAAGATGGATACAGCTAATACGAAATTAATGAACGTTTTAATCCTGGTCATATTAGGAGATAAACCAATAAGCAAAATCAAATGAAACTGAAGTTTTGAAAGTACATTGTAGTTTTTACTTCTATATAATAAATAGCCTTTTAGTAAAATAGAAAAACAGAAAGCTTGTATTCCTAAATAATCCATTTATTTTCTTCCTTCTCTTCTCGCGCCGAAATCCATTAAAATAATAATAAATATAGCCTCGATATAAATTTGGAATATATTTTTAATTTAGAAGTTATTTTTAAAATTAAACTAGTAGTGCACAAGCGACAAAAAGCCACGTACAATCATGAATCATTCCGTTAATAAAAGCCAAGTAAAAATATATTAAATCTCGTGGAAGATTCTAGTAATTTCAAAGTCACTCACACGGCTCTAACGTTTGCACTCACCATCTGATTAAATGTTTTATGTTATCCCAACAGCGGACCATATGAAGCATAGAAAGAGAGAGTAGATGTTAGCCAATTTCACCAATGTATTTAAAATTCATTAATGTTATTAAACATATTTTTAAATTGCTATAATATAAAATATAAAATATGCGTCAATTAATTATATTATACTTTTTAATTTACTTCTCATTCTAAAAATATTTTATATATGTACTAAATTTAAATCTTCTAGGTGAGTATCTTACCAGTTATTCTAAACTGAAGTATCTAAACCTACTGGATGTTAGGGATAGTAAAGTAAGTGTTAATTTTCATATTGACTTAATAAATATGTCCAGTTTCAACAGAATACCGTAAAACAATAACGTTTTTGTGTGGGGATTGATTTTCAAATGTATTTCAAAATTATTATATAATATTCTTATAACATAAGCATAAATATATTTTGCAATAAAATACATATAAGAGTAAGTAGAACATGCATAATATATTATATAACAATGTTATTATTTTTAATTATTTCTGTTTAACTATACATATTGTATGTTTTCTATAGATTCTTTAATTATTAAATATATGTACCTGTTCGTTTAACCACTGCGAGTGCGGCCGGCTGCGAGCAATTTTTAGCTTAAGCTCTACGTCTTGTATGATCTTCTTGTCTTCTGTGTCTACTAGCAACATTCGACCAGGTTTCAGACGACTCTGCATAAAAAAAAAATAACTATAATGGTATACCATAACAAACTTTCAAAACTAATTTTAAATTAAAAATTTACATAATTAATACTTAAAATAATTGAAACTGCTGCTATATATCCTTTCCGACGACTGCATAGATTTTTTGGACGTGTTTTTTACTTTTTTATTACTGGACCAAATAAGAAAATAATTAAAATTAGTATATATACATTAACTGATATAAAAGCCTGTGTTATGCTAAGCAATTTCTTCCATTGGGTGATTGGAGAAAATAAAGATAAGAAAATCTACGTGGACTATTTATTATAAGATTTAGTTGATCATTAATTTACTGACCTTCAGTATAACTTTCTCCGGATCGACATCGTACACTCCAACTTCCGATGCCATCACTAGAACATTCTCACTGGTTACGTAGAACCGAGATGGCCGCAGGCCGTTTCTGTCTAAGATGGCACCTGAAATTTAAGATGATTTACCTTAAAGTGTTAAGTCCGCCATATGCGTCTATAATTATGTGTTAAAGTTTAAATAAATACAGAAATAATTACTAGGGAAATCAAATGAATGCAACACAATCAGTTAACTACGCCTACTGCTACCTTCTACCATCGCACGCTCGCCATCGACAGGGAATTCATCCCCACACGCTAAAACCTAAGTGATGCGGTTACAGAGGGGCTTTCTCCCGCGTAGACTTAGATTTTAGAATGAACTACCCAGAACTAATTGAGGTTTTTCAAGAAGGGTATATTAAGGTTTCTTAAGGATCGGTATCGCGCATGCGACAGCTCTGGTGTTTCAATCGTCTATAAACTACGACAATCATCAGATTGTTCGAACGCTTGTTTGCCACCATCGTAGTATAAAAAAAACTGATCTTGCTTCAGTGAGTCACTAGCATATACCGTTAACACAGACGGGTATAGGATTCTACAAAGTAGACAATAACTTACCAATATAGCGTCCATCAGTAAATGATACTAAAGCCGGTCCATCCCAGGGCTCCATAGCGGAGGAGGCCCACTGGTAATAATCGCGCTTCTCCTTCGGCATGGTTGCATCGTTCTGCCAAGCTTCTGGGACCATCGTCATCACAGCCTCCGGCAATGTGCGCTGGCCACAGTGCAGTAGAAACTCTAGCACACAGTCCGCTGAACCAGAGTCGGATAAATTCGGCTCCACAACTGGGTATAATTTCTTCAGATCTGTAAACATAGAATGCAACATTCAGCACCGTATAGCTGCAGCGTGGATTTAATGGCCGGAAGTAATATGCGACAAGAGAATGCCGTTTGAACTCAAAGGTTTATATTTCCAAATTCAAATGTTCTTGCCACTCTCCGTCTTTTGTTTTTCTTTGTAATTAATATTTTCCTAATATACGGAGAAAAATTATTGTGATTTACCCAGAATTACCTACTTTTATTTGATTTATTTTACCTACTGCTTATTTTGTGATTTTATCACTATAATAATCAACTGAGAAATCTGTAAAACTTCCCAAGAACCCCGTATCCTTGATTATATAAAAATGCCAATGTAACATACCGTCGCCAAAGAACTCGCTCTTCATAACTCCCTCGCGAGCTTTCATCAAGTTAACGTTACCTCGTAACGTATTTATTTCTCCATTGTGTGCAAGTACTCTGTAATAAATTAATATAAATATCAGACAACTAATAGGTAAAAAATAAATATTATTTTTTGTATATACATATATGTACTAGCTGTCCCACGCAACTTTGTCTGCATCTCACTTACTTGACATTTATCATTATGTTTCGCTCAATATAATAAATTATAGCCCATAGCATACTCACAAACTTTCGTATTCATAATATTTGTAACATTATCTTTAAAACGCCATTTATTGATTAGAATCAAACGAAATGTAAAAAGAATTCATTTCATTTCATTGTATTATTAATTTATTAATATTTGTACATGGAGTATTTATTAAATAAAGTAGAACATACAATAACAGGGTAATTTTTAAGAGTGTAGTATTCTAAGATTTCTTTAGTCTGTATGTTGTCCCGTATTTAACAACATAATGCAGTGAGGTGTATACCCTAGACAGAATATATGTGTATCTACTTTGTTGTTAATATTACAGTGACATGTGTGTGTGCTTTTTCCCGTAAATACAATTTTATCTATCTGTGAATACAAATGAAATGGACTTTATTACCTTAAAGGATGTGCTCTCTCCCAACTTGGAAAGGTGTTGGTTGAGAATCTGGTGTGGACCAACGCCAGATACGTGGTGAACGCTGGGTTCGTGAGATCCTTGAAGTATTCCTGCGACATACACACTGGTATATTAATATATAGATTATAACTTAATTAACAATAGTATAAATAACATTAACTAGTTAGATTTTGCTTATCTGCATACCTCTGTCTCAACCATTTCTGCTGCTAATCAGCTGGATTTCTAAGCTGTTTCAGTGAGATATGGTGATTACAGATAAATTATTATATGGTGATTACAGATTACAGATACAGGGTACTGAGCTATATATTAGTTCTCTAAAATGGCAACGGTTAGTAGATACCATGGTTGTCAAATGACGACGTCGTTCCTGTATGCAGTCAATGGTTGACGTGAGTCGTTGACATGTTAGCATAATCAGTTACGTAAACTTCTGTAGCAGCTGGTTTTGCAATCCATATTTCGGTGAGATATGGTAGTGAATCTGAGCTGTAATATCTTAGTGCTCTGAGATGGCAACGTTTAATAGATATCACGGATATGTCATATCCGTGGTACTGTTCCTGTATGTAGGCGATAGTTGCCATTTTAGACTACGCGAGTCATTGTTATCATTATAAATTACTTTAAAAAACTTACCCATAGTTGATTAGAAGTGAGTAGTCCCTTATAGACAACAGTCTTTAGCGAGAGACTGCAAATATAGAACCTGGCGCCTGGCACGACCAGCTCGTGAGAAGCGCGCTTGCGCAGCACGAACACCTGCGGACACACACGTACACCAGCTCCACATCAAATCAGACAACTAAGACGGTAAGCTAAGGGATATCTATGGGTATTTTTTTACGTTTGGACCGTCGCTCCCCGCCCCGCCTGGCCAGTGCGCGCGACAACGATCTGAAAAAAACCTTTGAAGAGTGCCTTTCCACCTAGTAGCTTTATATCTTAATCGAGTTTGAATTCGCAACATATAAACGCCGTTGCAAGTTCATACTCTACGACTTAGTATAGTTAGGATTCCTGTGGATGAAGCACGGCTCCCTCTTGGTCATTCTTACCTGGCGGGCTAGCTCCTCGTCTTCTATATCTCCGGTTACAAACACTTGACGCATAAATGGCTCCGAGTTACGAGCCACTTGACCTGAAAGCCAGCCAAAAGAGGCCATTACTAACTTCACCAAGGGGAGTAACTATAACTAATTAAATAATAACACTTTAATCTAATTAAAAGGTACAATTATCCTAGAATAGTATGCTGGTGTAAATGTAACAAATCCACGATAATAAAACGTCATAAATGCATGAGAAATAAAACGTTCTACGAAATTATATAATTAATATTGGCAAGCAATAACAGCATTTATGACAGTTTGAAATAAAAATGAATTTCATTTCTTAAAATTTTGAATAAACTTCATTCTATAATAGAACCAAATAACTTATATTTAAGGTCCTTAATTATAATGTTTAGCTTAAGATTCATACATAGAAATAAATTATAACAATTATACTGAGAAAAACAATTAACATAGTGTAACATAATTGTTTATTGAATGGCAACAATTGGAATGTTAATGAATCTCAAGTTAATTACAATATAATTGTCAATTAATTATTGTTAATTAATTTACTGTATGACATTTGCATTTGATTGGACCATACGATTGAGAGATAATAATTCTAAATACCATTTTTCTTATTCGTTCTAACAACATGTTTGTATAACTATTACTTTATTACGTTCTTATATTTAGAATTATTTACATTTAATTAATTTATTGAATTGAATTATTACTCTAATCGTAATCGTCTTTTAGATGTCGACCATAATATTCGTTTAAAGTTTAAATTTCAGAGTTAAAATTTTATAAAAAATAATGTACTAAAAATAATAATTATATATACGTTAAATACGAATATGATAGTTCGAACATTGGTACTTAGACACGTTAAATTCACTTATACATCGCTCCAAAATATGTACCATTTAACCGATTTTAAAAACGAGAGACAAATTTTCGCTATTTGTGAATATTATATTTCATTTCGAGTAGTTATTCAGTTTTTTATTACTGCCATTATGAAAGAAGAGGTTTGTAATTAGACTAAACTTTTTTGTTTGTTATGTTAAATTTTGAACCGATTTTGATAATTATTTTTTTAATTCAATAATATCAAGAGATGATTCCAATCTTCAGATTATTAACTTATTATACTTTACTTTTTACAAGAAAAAAATTTGAAAATATTTACGGACCATATTGAATATCATACGTTGAAGAGCGTTTACTTTTGTTTTAATCACCATATATATCCCACATCACCTTTAAGAGAGATTGAAGTCGGTTGGACCAATAAAATTTATAACAAACAATAATGCACTATATGAGTTAACCTACACTCAGGGCAATATTCAAGTTGGTTAATAGATAAAAAGATGTTTTTACTCCCGATTACATGCCATATAAGTTAAAACATGGTTGCAGTTACTTTTTTATAAAACAAATTCGTATTTAACATTAATAAAATATTGTATAAAAATATATGAGTTATCATACGTTGGAGACGAGAAACAAGTGAGTTCATCGCACTGTACCTTCAGAGGTTAAATTGGACAAACCAGGTGGTCAAGCATCGCATGACCGCGTCGAGCCATCGATTCGAACAAGTCTCTACTACGTGTACAACCTGCAATGATAGTCGCAAACATATCGCAACACCGTCACTGTCCTTATGCAGAAAGCGAGAGAATAGCATGACAACTTCATAATGAGGTACTGGATCTGACACTGAGTATGAACCATTGAATGTAATGTAACGTAAGAGAGTTTACAACGTAACGTCAGCCACGTCTTTACCACAAATACTCCTACTTATCTTATTTAATAAACAATATATATATATTTTTTTTAATTAAAAACATAATAGTATAATGAATAAACATTGTTTGATTTGTTTAAATATCATTAAAATGAAAAAAGTATTGTATTATTTAATTTTTTATAAAATGTTATTTAAGTAAATATCAAATAAGACAAGTAATAAATAAAGATTATAGGTACCTGTCAACGATATTCATATAATAAAAAAACGTTACGTTACGCCCCATAATAAATTATGCACTAAAAAATACCCGTTTTTTTGTTGGATAATTTAATATGGGACAAATACTGGAGAAAACCCAATTGCAAAAAGAATAATTGAAATATCTTTAGTTAAGGAAAGATGCGTTATTTGATATACAGAATAAAAATACCGTCCAATTGAGGCCTCCACATGTTGGTACTCAGTTAAAAAGTGCATTTTTATCAAAAGCACTAAAACAACGTGATTTTTATTCACATATAAAAGAAAGTTTGACATGCGAGAACTTAACAAGAAAAAATTATAGTAGTTGGAAGATGTAGTCATAAATTTATTGTAGTTAATTATTTAAGGCAAAATATCTACGTATAATTTTTATCGAATATTTATAAATATCTAATAATAATAATATACCGTCACGACTTGTGTTCCAGATGGAGTAGTCAGAGCCATTGACAACATTCGTATGTTGATAATCCTGATGAATGCAACACTGAACTTCAAGATATAAAATTTGACAGGTACTTGCAAACGATGTCAATTTTTACAGTGTAAACTCCCTTAACTGTATATAACTCTGATTTTTGTATGTGGAACATAAAAATCAAACAGGGTTGCCACAAATGTATAATATAACAGTATATAAATTTGTATTAAAATTTAACTTAAAAGTGAACAAATAATTGAAATAGCAAGCTTTTATTTTAATTTTAATGTTTTTATAAACAAAATCACGATTACTTAGAAAATGAACAACTCATATTAGATTTTGTTCTAAATTAGTCAAATAAAAGCTTGTACAGTTAAATAATCAGAAAATTAACTATATAAAGACCTTAGAGCATTTATAAATGATAGTTATTATAATCATAGAGTCTATATGTACAGTCAATTACAGTAATAAAAAAAAAGATTGTTTGTTTTATGTCACTCGTGATACTTTTTGATCATATCAAAATTAAACTTAACTATCTTTCTTTACAAAAAGTAAGTTATGCAGATTATATCATTTCTGTATAACACGTTACGGATGTTGCGTCAAAATACAGACAAATAGAATTATACTAACAGTACCACGTGTAAATGCTCTAAGATAAAAAAAAATAGACATACATAAATACATAAATATGCCTTATATATAATAAATTCAGTAGGATACTAAAATCAAAACAGACGTCATAACATCATTACAATCCAAAATAACAAAATAAATTATTCAAATTGGAGAGTTTTACGTTCTGAACATGTAGTTTTCTTTTTCGAAATAAATCTGTATTTACCAATTGCAATGTGGCAACCCTATTAGCAGTTAGAATGATTCAGTCCAGCCCCTACATGCAATGAACCGATCCTACAACTAAATTTGCGTCATCACAAACTTAAAAGTTTCTTCCAACTTACCGATGGTAGAGTTGTTGGTGGGGACCGTTCTCCAGCAGAGGACTCTAAGTCCAATGCTTTCTGATAACTCTTGAAACTTTTTCTCGATCTCCTGATGGTGGAGCTTGTCCAAAAAGAAGATTCCGGTGGCGTAACGGCCAAAATCCGGCAAATCTATTTGATGAGTGTCTCTGTAAGAAAAGAAATATATGACATAAAAAAAAAATCACGTTTATAATAGAGTTATTCAACTAGCAGGAATAGTATGTACTTTAGCTAAACTAAGGGATCAATGTATTCAATTCCATATGAATATATAGCAATGCTGGATATACTCTTACATAATAGACAGTACACTATAAAAATTACATCTTATATTATTTGTTCTATACACCCGTATAGAACAAAAACTATAGAAATAAATAATATTTATGTTGTCTTCAACCCCCAATGAAATTGTATGTAATGTAAATTAAACTTACTGTGGTTATCTGCTTCAAGATATATCGCAAACCAATATTGATGCGGAGTGTTTTATTTGAAAGCTGATGTGATCAAGACAGCACTTAGGTATAGCTTATGAAGATCTGTTCAGACCTTTGTTATGATCAAGGGAAATCGTACTATTTATAAAAAGTCGCTAAAATATCTTCGTTACTAGTTCAGAGTTACCGAATTATTAGTTTTCAAAAATATTAATTTAATTTTAGAAATTTCCCATCCAGTATATACAGTACAAACTAAAGCATATTCTCCATAGTGTTATATAAGCATAACATTCTCACAATGTGGAAATTATACGATGAGTAACAAATAATACAATATACGCAACAATTGGAACTTTTCTTATATGAACAAATATAGTTTTCTTTGCATAATATCAAAGACAAAGCCATTCTAATGTTAAGGTAAACATATTTATCAGTTTAGTAAACATAAAAAGATTTCTATTTAATTTCGTCAGTTTACCCAAGTAATATTTTAATCTATTCAAACCTCTAATGTTTAATTCTGTACAATTAACCTAAAATGATACGAGTTGTCAATATTTTATTGTAATAAAACCGTCATATATTCGGCTCATGAAATATAAACCGCATAAAGGTCAGACAGGTACGCATTGCACGCAAACGAGTTAAATGCGCGCGCAGTGACGTCACAAATCAAACACACTATTGACCAACACAGACTCCCACGAGATCACACCGCGGCAGATGTGTTCAAAACGGGAGGAGACCTAGACACTCTGTCTGCGTATGCTTCCTATTATCCAATTTTAAGCGAAGAAGGTTCTGAATCTTGCTAATATTATCGCGGAAACTTGTAAGTGACGGATGGATGTTTCTTTGATGCAAAAACTACTAACCGGATTTTGATGAAACTTTACAGCAACAGAGCTTATACATCACAATAAAACATAGACTACATAATTTAAAAAGATATTATGTAGTTAGACGAAATATAAGTGTCAAGTATGATGCAGACGAAGTAGCGCGAATCAGCTATTACTTTATATATATATAAAATGACAAACAAGCTAACGGTCTTAAGCTAACCTGATGGTAAGTGGGAGCCATGTCTTCTATACACGAACAGTACCTCATTACATCATCATAAGTCACCTGTGACTCCCATGCGTTACCAAATCGAAGGACTACGAATTTCACTGGCTTGAGTAATTCTAGTTCTGTGTATTTTCTTATTATAGGTTTCGACGGTTAATTCTTTTGTTGATGCTGTATCATATTTTTACTCGTTGTTTTAATGGTCTATGCTTCTGGAAGATGACAATTAATTACCCTAAATGGGTAATCAAATGTCATATCATGAAAACTCACTATTATTATATACATATATAACACCTACGTCAGATTAAGTCCACAGGTAATAATGTCAGCAGAATTTGAGCTGCAACTGAAGTACTTCACAGAATGCGGGCGTAGTGGACTACGGTCCGTAGAATGCGCGTATAATCGACGGCGTTTAGAAGAATGCAGGCGTAGTACACTGAGCTTCGTAGAATGCGCGTGTATCTGATCGATTCGTTGGCTGTCGGATACAAACTTACGGGTGCATTCTACAGAACACATTTTTTACTGAATAATATTTTTTACCATTTACATAGCACTTATTTTTAATTTTAACTTATTTTTAGTTTATGCTATTTATTTCGATATACATATATATAATGATTTACGCGTAACCGTCAGTACATCTTTGGAATAATACTTTAATATCTTTTTAATTATGTGCCTACGTAAAAAATAATAAAATTAAAAACAAAACAATTGGAAAAGATGATAACACTAATAGCTACCCATATTTAATTCTACGAAGTATTTTAGCAAACATGCCATTAGGGGAGTAATTGGAAAACGCCATATACAAATTTCTAAACAATTTAGTTGGGTGGAGAGTATAGAACGTGGAGTGGAAAATTTCGATAAGAAATGACATGAGTACGAAAACAATTTTGCAAATTATGTAAACAAGAGTTCTATTTATAGGGAAGTGAGTAGCTAAGTAAACCACTTAGAACTTCCACTTTCTTTAGGATTCACATTTTTTTCTGGATATTAAATTTAAAAAAAAGAAGGAAAATTATTTATTAGGCGCATGCCACTGATACTTTACAATGAATTAAGAGTAAAAATTGATAAATTTTAATTATTTTTTCCTCGAAAATCAAGACTCCTATCATGAATTTATAAAAAAAACAATCATCAAAATATAAAAATTACAATAAAATATGTTATCGATTCATACTCTAAATTGAACATTTTTGTTTACACTTCAATATAGAGTCTAAAACAGCTTAATATTACATCATGTATATTTGCTATATGTCTGTTCATTGCATAATAAATTATGACAATAACGTCTGAATCTAATATTAATTTAAAATGGCGCCTATCAGAATTGTCAACAACTGTTATGATAATGTTAGGTAAAAATAATACACATCCGCGTCTGGTATTACCGGTGGGGTAGTAAGAGACTGTCAATGACGTGAACGATAAATGCAACTTGCTCATATTTTGCTTTTATATATAACTATATATTAATGAAATGTGAATCAGAACGCAAATTTAGCATCGACTCTCACGTTAGTTTCAATTTCAGTCGTTGCTATATAAAATGATTGGTAACACACAAAATTTCTAGGTGTAGGCCACATTAAAACTCACGACCTTCTAGGGTTTATAAATCTATAAGCTTCGACGCTCTCACTATGCAGATATCTACAAAAATAGATACTAGACGGCAAGCGACATAGTTCTATAAAATATAGACTAGACTACAGACGGATCAATATTAATAATGTGATGTAACAGTAAGATAGCTTCGCCTTGGTTATTTTTGCTAAAAATGTGGTTTGCGAAGTTCTATGCTTACTCCTCGTAAACAAATGCAACGCATCAATCATATGTATTGTATACATAGTAATATTGTAGCGCAGTAATAAAATATACGATGTAGTGACAGCATATTAAAAATTAATCATGCATAGAATATAAACAGTGCAACGATATACTTATCTCTTGCACCTGGTAGTCATTATACAAGTGATGTTCATTCGGACTTTGACACTACTGTAGGTCAATTGTAAGATTTAAACACAGTTATTAATAAAAGACCTTCACTACTGTTATTTCAGACAGGGTAGTCAGAGGTGTTAACTGGCGTCGCCGTGGTGAAGGCAAGTTGACACATTTTGATAAGTATATTTAAATTCAACGCGACGGGAAAGGTAGGAGGGGCTGTCACAGGATCGCGGATTAGTTTCTTATTGATTTATCCATCACTGGAGAATTAGACATTCAAATTAGACGCAAATATGATATATAATGGACTGTTTCAATTCATGACCTTTGGGATCTCAGTTGGTATGTGTGTGTTTACATAGTTTAATGCTCTTGTTGATGCATTTTGTAGTTTATCAAATAGAATAGACTAAACAATGCAAGATAAGCAACGAGACAATACATAAAAATACGAAAGAATCACTTTATTATCGTCAATTTTATAGGAGCAAATTACTAAGATGTTAGTTCTAAGGAACCTGCAATGACGACGGTTAAATCATATAAAAAAAAAACAAAAGAAGAATTTAGATGTTTTGTATGCCTCATTAAAAATCATAAGACTAATATTTTTATGTAAAACCATTGTATATGGCTCCAATATAATAGGACGTGTCTCATCTACTCATATCCTATGCCAAAAATGGCCACTAGGGAATCACAACAGATATATCAGTAGATATAACAGATGTAAATGTTGAAATAAAATTTCATATCATATCGCTAATAGGAAACAATGTCTCTTAGTGGGAGAGACCCGTCCCCAGCAAATGTTGATAAAATGGTAATCATGATTTATTTTGATGGATGGCTGTATGGAGGGCACCAAGTTTATCAAGCGACTGGACAAATAGGGTTGTCAACTATAACTAATACTCTACGTATTCAACAGGATAGCATTGCGCAGTATTATCACCATTGTTTTAAATATTAGATGAAGATCCATTAAATAGTAATAGCTAAGCTACAAAAGTGAAAAACAATAATGATTAATCAATCTTCATAAAATTTTACAAACGTGTAGTCTTTGGTGTAGAGAAAAACATATATGTATTACTTTCTTTCCTAGACCATCAATATATCCTAGTTACGTAGTCTAGATAAAAACTACTTTGCAAATGAAAATAATTTCTTCTTCTTTACATATTCTATAACCAATCCTACTGTTACCACATTAGCCACATCACGTGGTAAGACAATAAGAGGATTATATCAATACATGTATTTAATTACTCTCAATAGCAATCATTGTTCCCGTACCACAATAACTCGATTCAATTACGTTACAATATATTTTTTTACAAGTACTCAATTGTTACTTTCTTAGAAAACGTACATACACGTGCATTTCGATGAAATATAACAATACCACCGTGGGACTCATCAGAATGATTACATATTTATATAACGTTAAACATATCAAAATAACGCTGCGGAATTTCGTTCTCTAGTTGGTAACTGATAACATTAAAAGGTTATTAATGAATGAAACATTGTAAACAAAAATGAACAAGTGATAAAAGAAGTTTACAATATACTAAATACGTATTTAATATAACATCTTGTATCGGTACTAATATTATAAATACCATTGTAACTGAACACAG